CATAGTCTAGGATGGCTCTAGTTTTGTGGACTAAGCCCTAGGTGGAGGGTGTTGCTGTTACTGACATAGGCAACAATGGAAGAGGAGCAAAGAAGGGAGGAGGAAGGTCAGTTTTGGTTGTTTGAGATTAGGGACCAATCCTAATAGTTTTACAAAATTCAACAGGATCTTGTATCAACATTTCTAGCTGCAACCTCACACCACAGTCTCCCTCATCCTGTGTGCTTCATCCATGATCGCTCTTGTTCAGCTACCTCAAACCTCAGGTGTCCTCCTGGCATAGGATCTGTCCTCTCTTGGGGGTTGTAAATTCTACTGATTCTGTCCTAGAAAGCTATATTCAGAACTTAGCATACACATCACCTTAAAGATTGCTCCCTGACCTCTCCTCTAGATGAAACTCCCTCCCCAATTATATGTTCCCATAGCAGTATGTATGTCCCTCCCCTCCATGGCATTGCCCATAGATGAATTACATTTAATGTGTTTGACTCACTTAAGCCTTTCTTCCACTGGCTTTCTGTTCTCTGAAGGTAGTACCTGTATCTTACTTACCATCCAGTCCCAAGTGCTTGATTCATGCAAAGGTTTGGGGGTTTTTAATTGAGATATAATTCACACATCATAAAATTCACTCTTTTAAAGTGTACAGTGTATTGCAGCATATTCACAACCATCACCACTAATTGCACATTTTCATTGCTCTAAAAAGAAACCCCATATCCATTAGCAGCCATTTTCTATAGCCCCCTCCTCTATTTTCTGACAACCACTAATCTACTCTGTCTCTATGGATTTGCTTATTCTGGGCATTTCATATAAATGTAATTGTGGCTTTTTGTGTCTGACTTCTTTCACTTAGCATAATGTTTTCAAGATTCACTATGTTATCATATGCATCAGTACTTCATTCCTTCTTTTTATTTTTAAACATTATATTTTTAAGCACATATATTAGTTGCAGGGGGTGGTTTATTATGACATTTACACATGTGCTTACAATGTATCTTAATTAGATTCACCCCTTCCATCATTCTCCTTTATCCCCATCTTAGAACAACTTCCACAGGTTTTATTGTTCTATTTTCATATACACATACAAAGTGCATCCACCATATTTGCCCTCTTTCACCTCCTCCTTTTGCCTTCCTTCTTCCCACTGGTACCCACCCCCCCAGACAGGACTTGTTTTACCTTTCTGTCCATTTTTTTAAATTGTTCACGGGGGTTTTGCTGTGGAATTTTACACATACATAAATTGTACTTTAATCAGATTAACCTCCTCTATTTCTTACTCTTTCTCTATTGCCCTGTTACCTTATTATTGAACAGCTTTCAGTGCATTTCATTATATTATCTTCAAACACAGATACAATGTATTTTGATATTATTGACTTTTAGTCATCTCTTTTCCTCTCCCGCTCTCCGATTCCTTCAGACAGGCCCACTACTACAATCATGTTCTCTCTTTCTATATGTATATATGTATATAACACTTAATTCCCTCTTATGTCAAATAATATTACACTGCATGGGCAATTCTACATTTTGTTTCTCCATCAGTTGATGGATAGTGGGTTGTTTGTACTTTTCGGTGATTGAATACTATGACTCTGAGCAATCATGTACAAATTTTTGTGTCAACATATGATCTCAGTTCTTTTGGGTATGTTTCTAGGAGTGGAAATGCTTGGTTATAATGCTAAGGCTATGTTTAAATTTGAGGAACTGCCAAAGGGTTTTCCAAACTGGCTGTACCATTTTATCTACATTTCTTACACGATATTCATAATGTGTGTTTGTTAGGCTGAAGAAGTAATTTCCTGTATGAGACAACAAGAGTGAGTCTCAGGAGATTAGGCAACTTGGGCAAAATCACAGGACTCATCAGCTGCAGAGCCAAGATTTGGATGCAGCCTGACTCCTGAGACAGTGCTCTTGTCCGCTGAACTGTGAAGCAGCTCCAGCCGGAAGCCCACATTCGATCCGATGTGATAATGCTGTTATACTTCTGCTGTGGCACTGCCAGGAGACCAGAGTCCAGGAAGGGGCCTTACTTTCAGAGGCAGGGGAAGAAACAGGTTAATACATCCTACTTCTGTTACAAAAGTATATCTTAGATCTCTCTCTTTAATCGCCCATATATATATATATATAAACTATTACAATGGCCTCTTTTTTTCTTTTCTTTCTTTGTTTCTACTTATTTATCTATTTTATTTATTTATTTTGTGATACTGGGGCTTGAATTCAGGGCTTTGTGCTTGCTAGACAAGCACTTCACCACTTGATACATACAATGGCCTCTTAATTGCTTTAAGGTCTCCTTTCCAATATATTCTCCATTCATAAAGCATACAAACTCAACCATGTCTATCCTCCTTCATCAGAAACAAACAAAACCCAAAGAAAACAAGACAACAAAACCCAGGAGTTCCCTGTTACATACCTCACAACACTGGAAGTCCTTGGTCTCACAGAGGTCATTCCAAGGTGATCCTAGCCTACCTTTCCAGCTTTATTTTCCACCACTCGCTTTTCATTTATTCAACAAATGTTTACCATGGGCTTGTTACTGCCAGGTCTTGTGATAGGCAGTAGGCACATGACTACCGACAATGTGGTGGCTCTCCCCACATCTCATTTATTTGAATAAGAACATGATCAGTGCGGGGATTCAACAGACGTTAGCACAGGATTTAGGGGGGAGTGTGTGGGCAAGGCACTTAACCCAGCCTAGGAGGACAGACAACTTTTGGACAGAAATGAAACTTGAGCTGAGTTGTGAAGGATACGTACATCAGAAACTGAAGAATGGAATGTGTCGCTCTTACAAGGAATAGCAGCTGCAAAGGCAGGAAGGTGCAAAACCAGCTGGCTGGACTCTTCATTGTACATCTGCTCACTGAGTGCTTCTTAAGTGCCAGGTGCTGGGTATATGAAAGCAGTGAACACAGCAGACAGACCCTTGCCTTCATGAAGCTGGCAGTTCACAACAGGGAAAATAAGGTTGGGATGAGAAAGGGCAAGCCTTTCTGTCACAGGGATCCATGGACTACCAGAATCCAATGGAGGGGGCTACAAAACTCCTGAAATTTAAGGTGGGGAGGGAGAAGGATGGAAGGGGTAAATCCAACTAAGATATATTTTAAGCACATAGGTAAATACAACAATGTATTCTGTAGAACTATTATATGCTAATAAAATAATAAAAACCCCTGAAATTTGAGAGCAACTGTGTGTGTTTATGTTCATACAGCACTATCATAGACAGTGGACTAACAACATGTTATTGCATTCTCAAAGGGATCCATGATACTCTTGAGTTAGAACATTTACTCTAGGCCTCTTGGCCCGAGGTAAAGAGTTTGATCTTGCCTCTTGTCTGAGGCCTTTTTGGAACCTTCTGGGCAGTTGTTCACAGTCCTCAAGAGCGTTGTGGGTATCACCTGTATCACAATTTCACTCTGAACACACAGCATCAAAATCCACTTTTGTGTTTGCCTTTGGCATTATCATCTCACTAGTGCTACGGTCCAAGTAGTGACACCCCCTCTCTTTCACAGATGCGGAAACCCAGGCTGAGCTATTTACCTGAAATCAACCATTTAGAGTCGGGAAAACTCTGATCACTAGATCTTGTGAAATACTGACAGCAACAACAATGAACAATTAAGAAGCCAAGTGTTGTACCCAGCACTACAGCACCATCAAATTCCCGATTCCTCTGTAGGTAGGTAAAATCAACTGTCACCCAAGTTTACGGAGAAGGAAACTGAGACTCAGAGAGGTTAAGTTGCCCAAAGTAATCCAAGCTAGTCCCTTTCAAAGTCGAGACTCGGACCTCGCCTAGAGCAACCCCAAAGAAACCTATGTCATTCTGCCTCTCAGAAAACACTACTTTCTAACTGCACAGTTCAAGACCCCACCCAAGCCTGCTTAGCATTGAAGACATTCTAGCCAAATAGTTCTTTGTTTTGGCTAAGGATGCAGAGGGCGCTGCCTGACACTAGTCTGGGACAGGGGGCAAGGGAGAAAGTAGGGAGTCAGGGGTGAAAATTTAGGCGCTTGGGCGTGTGCGAGGGGTTGGGGGAGAGGGAGAAGAGTGTAGGGACCAGAGGGCGAGTCACGTGCACGTAAAACTCGACCTAGGGGGAGGGGAAGGGAAGGGATCCCCCGCCCCCACCTCGGGGCGCAACTCCGGACGCCTGTAAATACAACTACCGACTCGGTAGATCGTGTTGTCCATGTCCCGCTTCACCGGTCCGTGGCGCCCGCTGGGTTCCCAGCTCGGCCAATTCTTCCGAGGGGGTTGAAGCTCTGAGGCTGCCTAGATTCCGCGCGTAGAGAAGACCCCAGTGTGGGCGCGGCACAGGGCTGGGCCCGCGGGACCCGGGACGCCCACAGTGTGGACACGCCGCGAAGGCTCTGCCATCTCCGGGACGTCAGCGGCTGCAGGAGGCCCGTTTGCCCCCGACCCGAGGTGAGTGAGCATCGGGGCGGGGGGGTTGGGGTCCTCAGCTGCCCGCAGGCTCCCACCGACACACATTGGTCAAGCTCTCCAAGAAGTGCTGGCAACCTGAGCCAGTGGATCCTAGCGCATTCCCTCCCTCCTCCTTTCTCTGGCCCCTCTGACTCTCCTTTTCGTCTAGGGCCCCCTCTTGCTGTGTTTCCTCTGTTTAGAGCAGCACTTGTCAGCACCCGGACCTCCGGAAGTTCTAAATCCAAAGCCCCATTTCACAGATGAGGGTACTGAGGCCCCGGGAGAAGTGACTCGTGCTTCACTACCCTTGCTCTTGGCCTTTTTTTTTTTCCTTTCCCTGTCCTCTGCTCTTTTCTGCATCTCCCTCCCCACCCCCATTCCCTGTGTCTCTCTTCGCCCCCGCACGGCTCGCGTCCGATCGCCTCCAGCGGCGGCTGTAGTGACCGCGCGTGCGACGAGCTCCCGCTCCTTCCCTAGCTCTGATAAACACCCAGCCGCCGGACCTCGAATCCAGCCGCCGCCACTGCCCTTATAAAGTCAGCAACCACCGGACTTCCTGCCGGAGCCCAAGCCCCTTCCTAGGGACCGTGGGGCTGGCAGGCTCCGAGGCGCGCGTAGTGCTGGGCGCCAAGAAAGTAAGAGAGGGGCGCGCGAGGGCGCCTCAGGGCCTGCGCAGGGTCTCTCTCCACGTGGCAGTTGTTGGATTGGCCCATGAGACCGTAGGGACACGGGTCGCCTGGTGTGGAAAGGGGGAGGACTTTCCTCTGGCCCCAGAGAGGAGTGGACTGAGCCGGGCAAAAGAATGGGGGCGGTGGGGTCTTCCCTGTCCTCCTCCTGGCTGCTTCTGGGGGTCCTCCCGGACACAAGAGGCTGACATGGACCAGCAGTGGCATCAGAGTAAAGATTAGTGGCATTAATGACCTTTGGAGACTTGGAGAAGTTCGGGATTCCCCCCCCCCGCCCCCAAGAGCGGGCTCCGCGCGCCCTGGCCTGGGTGGGAAAGCCCGGCCACGCGCCAGGAAGCTTCTGCGCGCAGACAGGACCTTTCTTGTTTCCGATAGTGGCCCGGCAGGAGCCCAGCGCCGCGTGCGCCCTTGGCACTCCCAGAGCGCAGGGAGCCAGCTCAGCCGCACCAGCTGGGAAGTCCAGGGCGCTGTGGGACCTCCATGAAGACTCCATCGCGGGTTGGCCCCAGGGCTCTCAGTAGCCAACATGATGCGGTACCCTTCCCAGGGGCCGCTGGGAGGTCCTTCGCTCAGTGCTCTCTTTCTTTGCAGTATCTCGGCCAGCATGGCCCCCACGCTGAAGCAGGCTTATAACAGGCGCTGGTGGATGGCCTGCACTGCTGTGCTGGAGAACCTCTTCTTCTCTGCGGTGCTCCTGGGCTGGGGCTCCCTGCTGATCATGCTCAAGAAAGAGGGCTTCTATTCCAGCTTGTGCCCAGGTATACCTGAGAAGGGACTGGGTGGTTTGGGGGGGGAGGCACGGCAGAGGGTGGCCATGGAAACTGGAAAAAGGACAGGTGATCAGATGGTTATAAAGTAGGGATGCTCCAGATGGGAGCACGGGATGGCCAGGAGTCAGCCTACTTCCTTACCTCTTTAAAGTTTACCTGGAGAATGGGTGGCATTCAGCCCACTCCACTAGGATTATCTAATCCAGTGGTCACTGAATGCCAGGTATCCTGGGACTGTTGAACAATCTTATGCCTTTGACAGACTCTAGTCTACAGCAGGACATAGCTGGGTGAGGGCCCCTCCCCCTCTCATTCCCTTTTCCCTTCTCCATGTGGTGGAACAAGCATGGAAGAAAGGCAGCTTGGATTTGAGTTCCAGCTTCCACCACTTTTACTAGCTGGGTGACATTAGTGAGTTCCTTAAACACTGAGCAGTCAGTTATCTGGTCACCAGAATGAGAACAATAGTATCTGTCCCTTGGGAGTGCCATAAGACTCAACAGTGCTTCTTCTGGCTCCTCAACTCAACTCCTTGCCTCACAGCATCTTGTTATGGCTGTGGGAGGGAACCACTTCTTTGGGGGTGGAGGAGAGAGGTCTTGATCTCTGTTCTAACAGCAGTTGCTCCACCCTGGGGGGCTGCCCCACCCCTGTCAGGGTTATCTGTAAAGAAGCAACAGGTGGCACTAAGAGAGGGCAACTTGCCCAGGCCTTCTGGCCCCACATACTGAGGGCTGGGGGCTGGGGAGGTGGAGTTGGTGCTGGCTGAGAAAGGCAGGGCCGGTCCGTTGAGAAGGAGGCCTGAGATGAAATGATAGACGCTTCAGGATGGCCAAGAGGACGAAAGTGTGTGTGGGGCACTAGGAGATCCATACCATGCCCAAGTGCCCTCTGAGCTTCTCCTGGAGTCTGAAAAGAACCTGGAGTTTGCTGCCTGAGGGTCTCAATGCCTCTACAGTAGCTTCTTATCTTCTGCACTTGGGGGTGGTGGTGTTTTTCTAAATCAACTTTACTGAAGATTAATTTGCATCATACATTTTCATATTTGACAAATTTCCATATTCCAGGAAATATTCAAAACATTTCTGTCACCCCCAAAACTCCTCTTAAGAGCCCATCCTTCCACCCGTGCTTTTAAAAAATTGTAAAACAACTTTATTAAGATATAATTCATATACCTTACAACTCTCTCACTTAAAGTATACAGTTCTGTAGGTTTTAGAATGCAGTTATGCAGTCATCCCCACAATCAATTTTTAGAACATTTTCTTTACCCCCAATAGTAACCTTGTACCCATTAGCAGAACCTACCCCCATGCACTAGGCCACCATTCATCTTTCTGTCATAGGTTTGCCTATGACAAAAATTAGATTTACCTGTTCTGAACATTTTCTATAAATGGAATCTTGTCTTTTGTAACTGGCTTCTTTCATTTAGAATACTGTTTTCAAGGTTCATCCTTGTTCTACCATATATTAGAACTTTTTTTTTTTGCAGTGCCAGGGATTGAACCCAGAGCCTTGCACATGGTAGTCAAGTGGTCTACCACTGAGCCACATCTCCAGTGCACCTTCTTTTTATAGCTGAATAATACTCCATTATGTGGATCCATCCTATTTTATTTATTCCTTCAGCTATTGATGGACATTTGGGTTGTTTCCACTTTTTGGCTATTATGAATAATGCTAAGAACAAGCGTACAAGTTTTTGTATGGACATATGTTTTTATTTTTCTTAAAGTTGCCATGAGGGTAACATTTTGAAGAGCTGCCAGACTGTTTTCTAACATGTCTACACCATTTTATATTCCCACCAGTAGTGTATGAGGGTCCTAGCTTCTCTACATCATTAACATTTGTTATTGCTCTTATTACTATTATTACAACTATTCTACTGGATATAAAGTGGTATCTTTTAAAATTTTTTCTAATGGCTAATGGAGGTAAATGTTTTTTCATGTGCCATTGGTATGTCTTTGGAAAAATGCCTATTCATATCCTTTGCCTATCTATTTTAAAATTGAGTTGTCTTTTTATTATTAATGATTGTTTATTTTGGAGCTTTGCACATGCTAGACATACATACACTCTGCCACTGAGCTATACTCTCAGCCCTTTTTATTGAATTGTAAGAGATCTTCATACTCTAAATACAAGTTCCTTCTCAGATACATGATTCACAAAAAATTTTCTTCCACCATGGGTTGTCTTTTCACTTCATGGGGTCTTTTGGTACATAATAACACTTTTGAATATTGAAGTCCAATTTACCTATTTTTCTGCCACTCTTGTTTTGGTGTTATGTTTAAGAAACCATTGCCTAATCTAAAGTCACAAAGATTTATACCTGTGTTTTCCTGTTCTTATAGTTTTAGCTCTTATTTCAATCCTTGGTCCATTTTGAGTTAATTTTTGTATATGGTATGAGGTACCGACTTGGTATTTTGAGGTGCTATTTGGGATCACTGGAGGTGACCAAAGCTAACTTTTCTCCTTTTTCTTACTTCTCCATTCTTGGAAAGCAGGGTACAACATGCCTCTTCCTCAGCCTCTCTCCCATTCAAGCAAGAGACTGTGGAAGGAAAACTGGAAATGCTGTTTTCTGTTCGGTCTCACTCATGTTTTCTGATAAAAATGTTTTTTTCCCCTCCCGCTATGTAGCAGGTCTTGCTAGCCCAGGCTAGCCTCAAAGTCACTATCCTCCTGGCTCACTCTCCCAAGTGCTGGGATTACAAGTGTGCTCTACCACACTTGATGACTTTCTGCTTCTTGGAACTTCATTCGTTGTGAGTCTTCACCTCTCTCTACAGTATCCCCCAAACAAGGCCAGGAATCAGTGTCCTCCTTGTAGAAAGAGACAGGCATCTTGGAGTACAACTTTGTATATGTTGGTTTCCTGTTTTGATCCAATTACCCCATATGTAAAATGGAACCAATAAACCCAATTGTGAAAATGAAACGAGAGCAAGCAGGCCAAATTTTAGGCTGCAGATGGGGGTAGTTGTGATGTTTGGGTCCAGCTTTGCCATCATTTGCTGTGTGACTTTAGGCAAGTCACTTTCCTCTCTGAGTCTCTATTTCTTTCCAAATCTGTAAAAAGGAGTAGACAGTTGTTACCTTGCTGCCACAGAACAATGATGTGAGAATCAAATGATGTCATTTAATGAATATTGAAAGAGTTCAACAAATGTGGAGCTCATTATTGAAATTTTTGTTAGTGTAGGCTTTGGGGTTCTCTGGCCACACTGTCCGTTTTCAGGGCTTTGTTCTATACCCTGGGGCATCACAGTTAATGACGTGTTATTTAGAATTTAGGCAGGGGCATTTCAGTTCATCATATGCTAGTATAAGTCCAGTGTAAGTGCCAAAGTAACAACCACTAATGTTCATTAAGCCTTTACTGTTTGCTAGTTAAATTTTCTTTTTTGGTGGGACTGGCATTTGAATTCAGGGCTTCGCACTTGCAAAGCAAATGCTGTACTGTTTGAGCCACACCTCCAGTCCATTTTGCTCTGGTTATTTTGGAGATGCGGTCTCTTGAATGGTTTGCCAGGGCTGGCCTCAAAGAGAGATCCTCCTGATCTCAGCCTCTCAAGTAGCTAGGATTACAGGCATGAGCAACTGGCACCTGGCTTGAGTTAGATCTTTAGTCCTTATTGCAAATCTGTGCTGTAGGTATTATTGTAATTTCATTTACAGAAGACAAACCTGAAACTGAGAGATGCTAAGTAACTTGCCAAGGCCACCCAGCTAATAAGGAGCAGAGTGAGGGCTGGGCTGGGGATGTAGCTCAATGTAGAGCATTTCCCTCGCATGCGTGAGGCCCTGGTTGCATGCCCAGCACTGGGAGGGAGGAGAGCAAAGTGAGGATTCAACTTCACTTCTAACCCCAGAACCTTCTTGCTGGGCCTCATGGGAATGCATTGATATCCCTGACCTCCAACAGCTCTGGGTTCAACTGGGGGAGTCCAGCCATAGTCAAGATACCAGCTAGAGCTCAGCCTAAGGTGTGTTTGGTGAATGTGACCATGTCAGTTGCAGGAAAGTGAAGCATCAGGGAGTCATTTTGTGTTTGCTCCAGGTGCATGTGACGGTCCTTAGAGCTAGCCTCTCATAGTTCAGACCACTGTCCCCATTTCACAGATGGAATCACAGCACCTTAGAGAGTTTCAGCAGCACAGTTAGTGGAGTCAGGATTTGATGAGAGATGAGTGCATGTTTAACCTTGACCCCCCAGTCCTGGTGTTTCTCAGACTTAGTCATTTGCAGTCCACCTTCATGATTTTGCTATTTCTGTGTGCCAGAGGTACTATCATTTAAAGTTTAATATCCTTAAAATCTTGGGTTTGATGTTACACACACACCTATTCATATATTTGTTTCTAATACTTACATATGTACATGAGGTTTCTAATGCACATTCAGATAACTGATAACTATGAGACCTCAGAAACCATGCCATGTACCACTTAAGCCTTTCTTTCATGCTCACGTGTAAGAAGCTGGGTAACTGCGTGGCTTTGTTTCTGGGAGCCTCATCATCTGTAATGGGGACCATTATGTTAAGTTTTTAGGTTGTTGTAAGAATTAATTGAGATTCTATTTAAAAAGTAGGTATTAATTGCAAGCTAATGGGATTGTTGTTTAGGGAAATTGTCACGTGATTGTGAAAGACTTAGGAGCAGGGACAAGTTCGAATTCAGGGGTTGCCAATTCAAATGCCAGTAAAGGTAAGGTAGATGATAATAACTGAGTAAATCAAGGCAAGTATAAGACAGCAAATGTCTGTCTGGGAGCTAAATGTCTGTCTGTATGTGATTTTGAGAAGGCAATTCCTGGAAAAAAGGGAGGCCTCCATTCAGTTTCAGTAGTGGCTGGATCTTCCAGTTTTATTTTATTTTATTTATTTATTTTTTGAGATGAGGTCTTACTATGTTCCCCAGGCTAGTTTTGGGAATTCCTGGATTTAAGCAATCCTGCAACCGCTTCCTGAGTAGCTGGGGCTATAGGTGCCTACTGTCGATCTTCCAAATTTTTAATAAGCCAGCAATCTGGATTTTTATGTGTCAACTCCTGATTTTAAAGTGGCCCTCCCATGCAACTTACAGTACTCTTAATAGCCAACACTGCCAGCCAAGCTGAACGTGGTTGGGGTCAGTGCTGGTCTTAACTATCTTTCCATTTCTTCTTGCTTAACCCATTGTCCCAACACAGTGCTGGCATATAGTAAACGTCCAATACGTGGGTGTAGTGTGAATAAACCCATGCAGACAAACCTGGTGGAGAAACGACCAGTGATCATAAGGATTGCTAAATTAGAGGGCTAGCATGAACCCCAAGAGCTGTGTGGTCTAACCCGCTAACCACTTCTTCCAGGTGCCTCAGCACTTTCTTTGGCCCCTTTAGCAGCTGGCAGCAGTGGGGAGCTCCCTGTTGCCCAAGGCAGTCCTTTCCATGAGTGGCTGGCACTCATCATCTGACAGCTCTTCATGTTCTTTCTGATCTTAACACACAGATCCAATTACCTTGTGCTGCCTGCATGCCCTTTGGTTACCCTAGGTTATCTGCAGTCAGGGGTCATTTCTACCCTCTTCCCTTGGATCCAGGCACTATGGCATCCCTCTGTTTTGTTGTCTTTGAAGCACTTGCCACTTTAAGTCAGCATTCTTTTGTGTCCTATCACCTAATGTAAGCCCCTGGAGAGCCTGAGAGCTTCCTGTCTTCATTACTGTGGGATCTGCAGCACCCAGAGACTGTGCTCCTTTCTTCATTTGTCAGCTGTTTCAGGAGCATCTCCCTTAGGCCATACCTGTACACAGCGCTCTGTTCACTGTCTCCAGTTGAGGTCTCCTCCAGAGCGCCTGTGGCTTAGCCATTCATTCTCTGCTCCTGTGTACAGACAAGGTGCCTGAAAGGCAAACCAGGCAGTTCCCTGTCCAAGACTGCACAGTTAGTAAGGCTGATGGTGGGAATGGAGACCCTGTTCTGCCTGCCTCCCAGGTACAGACTGTTTATCTTGGCAGGATTGCCCAGTAACAAATTGGAGGCAGGGGGGGCAGCCACCTCATGACTCAGTGTGCACAGAGTTCAATGAAATCCCCTCCTCTCCCATGCTATCCTTTCTCATTGCTTTGTCACAACTCCAGGTTGGCAGGTCACCTCGAGGAGAAGCCCTCCAGGTGAATTTCTGAAGGGTACTGGAGGGCAGTGTCTCAGTTTCATCATCTGGAGGATGGGGTACTTTATTAACTGACTTAAGGGCTGTTGTGAGATAATACAGGGACTGTTTAGAACAGTGCGTGGACCATAGTTAAGCGTTCAGTAAATACTTACTACTATTATTTTAGCAGAATGTCATTTATAGGGAAAGCTTCCTGTACGTTTTAAGTGAATTCTTTTTGCATGCATTAGAGCACCACTCACTGATTTTGTCTCTCTATTGGTGGATGCTCCCCATTGGGGATCCACAACTCCCTAAGCCTGGACATTGGGTAACTGTTACAACTTGGTTAGCAATTTGATGTCTATTATCTCATTTGAGCTAGTGAAAGCCTCAGGTGGAGGGTATATGTGACTCTCCCAGAGTCAGATACTAAATGCTGTCCTTTGTGGACCACCTCCCACCCAAACTTAATAAACACGACTCCATGATAACCCCAGAGGCACCTGATTGGTTCAAGTCAAAGGCCTGGGATTTGGAGGCAGGACCTCAACCAGAATTGGGCTGCTCTCTCCTGTGTGTGGCTACTCTTAATGTCATGTGCTGAGTCTTCCCTCTTCTCAGCTAAGAACAGGACCAATACCACCCAGGATGGGCAACACCAGTGGCCAAGCTGTGACCAGCAGGACAATATGCTCAATCTGGGCTTCACCATTGGATCCTTTCTGCTCAGTGCCACCACCCTGCCTCTGGGGATCCTCATGGACCGCTTTGGTCCCCGGCCACTGCGGCTGGTTGGCAGGTGAGGTGGCTGTGCTGTGGCAGCTAGAGGGCTGGGAAGAACTGCGGGGGAGTGGAGGCTTACAGGTCAGGCCCTTCCCCTTTCCCTGTGTCCTCACAGTGCCTGCTTTGCTGCATCCTGCACCCTCATAGCCTTGGCCTCTCGGGACACTGAAGGTGAGCTTTCCGGCTTCTTATGCTTCCACAGGAAAAGAATGGGTAGGGTGAAGATGGACATTTACCCAGCTCCTGTCCTTGGCCTCTCCCAGCTCTCTTTGTCTGCTCCTCTCCCCCTTTCCAGTTCTGTCTCCATTGATATTCCTGGCACTGTCCCTGAATGGGTTTGCTGGCATCTGCTTGACGTTCACTTCACTCACTGTGAGTATGACAGGCCTGGCTTGGCAGTAGGACACCTGGGAGTGGGGTGGGGTTAGAGGTGAGTGAGGTGGGGAGGGGTTACACAGGTAAAGATCCAGCACATATGTGTGAGCTGGATCTCACAGGTGGGAGCTGAGGGTGGGTCAAGGGCTGTTCGTATGTGTGCGTGTGTATGAGTGTGTGTTCCAAGACCATGCATGGCTCTTGGGCTCTGTTCTAACTGGGGCTACAGTCCCAACAGGAGTCATCTTCCAGGAAGTTCCGTTTGGAGATTAGGAGAGAACAGAGAATCCAGTCAGCAAGTAAACTAATAAGTTATATCAGTAGTCATAAGTGCCGGGAAGAAAAATTAAACTGGGTAATGTGATAGTGTGGGGGAAGGAGCAGCTGAAAGCCTGTGCAACATGCTGTAGGGGTGGTGGTGGAATGGAGGCTGTCTGTGTAAAAGGACATGGATGGGTAAATGTATTTGTGAGGTTGAATTATGTGAAATTGCCAACATTTGGTGTTGCTTGCCCTACAAAACTGGCTTTTTCACATGGCTCAACCTGTTAAATATGTGTGTGTGTGTTGTGTATGTGTTTTTCTAAGAGTATGTGTTTATGTATGTGGGTGAGTATAAGGTTAAAGGCTTACTGGGGGAGGGGGGGAGGCTTTTCCTGGCCCACTTCTGGTTGTTTATCTCTCATGCAGCCAAACTGGGTGTTTTGGCTGAATTTCTCCTCACCCCAGCAGCCGCCTTTAATTCCAGCTGCGGACATTTCACAACTCTCTAGGAAGCTGATCCCTTCCTATCCACCGCAGCCCCTTCCCCGCTGTGCAGCTTGGCTCAGGTCGCTAAATCTCTTCTCCCCTGGGTTGGGGTGTGAGGCTTGACCTCAGATCCTCAACTAGCCAGCCTAGGGGGCTTGGCTGTTCCTACGCTTCGTCGCCCCTGCAATCTCCAGCCAATGGTAGGGCCTGGAGCCTGCCCCACCCCAGCTCTGCAATTGCCGGGACTCCTGCTTGCAGCAGAAAGGCGGCTGTTCCCCCGCAAGCTCCCAGCCCTCCAGTCTGGGTCAGCTTGTGGTTAGCCGCGCTGCCCACCCCACAATGTGGGACCGAGACAGTGCTCTTGGACTCTTGAGGGGCAGGGGTCTTTAGCCCTGGCACCTTCCCTGGTGTCCTTGGCAGTTTGCCTCACAGATAAAGGGTGCCAGCAAAACCTCTGCTCAAGTGGGGGCCAACTTGGCCTCAGTCTTTCTGGATTCACTTTAGGGGAGGGGGAGGACAAATCAGTTCTTTGTTTAAACACCTTCCTTCTCAGCTCTTTGAGGCTTCTCTACCGAGCCTCAATTTTCCACTCTGTGGAAAGGGTTTAGTTTCTGCCTGGCATCTGAGATTCCACCCAGCTATGGAACCTGGTGACCAGGGGAGGATGATGGGGTCAAAAGCGGTGTACACAAAGGGGGTCAAGGACTTTGCTTTCCCTTTCCCTGAGGGCCTGGCTCAGGCCAGTGAACAGAACATACAATCAATTCTTTACTAATGTTGAATTCTGGGACTGCTCTGTACTTCAGGGCCACCTCCTCTGGTGACCTGACCTCCCTGGCCCTTCCTATGATTTGTTTTGGTGCAGTAGAAACTGTAAGCTGGGATGTTTGGAGCCACTGAGAGGGTTAAAAGCACCATTGTGTTACAGGGTCAGCCATTGGTACTTGATAGGCTGGACAGCGGAGAAAGTCTTTAACACACTCTGTGAACTTGAGTCCTTTTCTTTCCCTTTAGCTTCAGTTTTCTTATCTATGACCAGATCAGTGTTTAACTGTTCCATCGGGTATTCAGAGGTGTCACACGATAAAGGGCTCCATGAACAACAAACTTAGGCAACTCTGGGATTAAGCAAAATTCATGAAATTTCTTTTTGAGGTCACTTCTGGGAACCTTGTAGGTGTGAAAGTACATTGTGAGTATGTTAGAGGGGGTCAAAATGCAGTTTCCCACATTGGTTTTTGCCTTGGGGCTTTCTGTTGTGTCTCCTGGGACCGTCTTTCCTGGAGCACACTTTGAGAATGCCAGGTTGGAGCTTCCAAGCCTTTTCTGAGGTGCTGGAAAAGGCAGGCCTAGGCAATGTCAGGATGTCCCCTGCTCATGAGTACTGCTTTTCTCCCTCAGCTGCCCAACATGTTCGGGAACCTGCGATCCACATTCATGGCCCTCATGATTGGCTCCTATGCCTCTTCTGCCATCACGTTCCCAGGAATCAAGGTATGGAACTCTTGTAGGGCCAGTGAGGTTACCTGGGTTGTCTTTTCGCCTTGACACAAGAACTGGGTGGAGCTGCTTGATGGTAGCTTTATGTTCAGTGAGCCAGTTCCTGCCATGAGAGGTCAGTTCCCACTATCATGGGAAAAAGCATTGAAGCAGCAGGGGTGGAGCCATTCCCATGGGTGGACAGCCCCACCCCTGCTGCTGATCTATGGGTCTGACTTCACTTTCCTCCCTTCCTTTGCGGATGTGCCAGTGCAGGTTTTCCTCCTCTCTCCTAGGCCAAGTCAAGCTTTTTCACCTGTTCTTCCCGCTCTGATCTTTTTCTAATCCGCATTCACAGGACTTTCAAGGTGATGTTAGAGGGTGCACTAGCTCACAAAACTCTCTGGAAAACCTTCAGTGGTTTTTTGCTTTGCCTTCAGAATCAATCAACCCCTCACAGGTGTTTGAGGTGCTTGACTCTGGTTTCATCTAACCTTTTGAGAGCTTGTTTGGAGGTTCTAGCAGGGGAGCGCAGCTACTCTATACCCTTGACCGAAGAACAGTCCTCCTCTATCGGGGATGGTCGTCCTCTTCCACCGAGCGCACAGCTTCGGGAGGGGACGCACATGGAGCGGTGAGGGAGGAAGGGGACACCCGCCTAGCCAGCCAGATCAGCCGAATCAACCCTGGCGATCAATGGGGTGACAGATGTCGCAGCCAGATCGCCCTCACATCCTCATCTAACCTTTTGGGTTATACCTCCCTTCCAGAGAGGCTGAGTGACTTGGTCCAAGGTCACAAAGCAAACCTGTGCCAGAGTAGATCATGGATAGGCCAGCCTAGTGGATCTAGGAGCCAGGAGGCTCCCAGAATTTTAGCTCAGAGCAATCTGGAGATCTCTGTTTCTTCCTCTGTCAAATGATATCAAAGTGCTCTTTCCACTGAGTGATGACATGTCTCTCCAACTCCAACCTGGGTAGTTAATTCATTATTTTCAAGGACACTTTTGTTCACTTGGGAGTGCATTGGTGAGCTTGCAGAGCCAGATCTTAACTCCACACATTCGGGGCATGGTCCTTTGGAGTTCTGTCCTGCTTCTAGGGAGAAAAGAGCTAAGGAGGAACAAAGGTTTTCCCCGGCAGTGACTGGAGCTCTGAGCAGGGGGTTGACAGGGCAGACACCACTTATCCCAGTTACAGCTTGCTGGGAAGGGCAAGAGAGCCATATTCATTTCTACATTGAGCTTCTGCCATCATAGGGGCTGATACATTTGCACAGAATCTCAGTCAAGTCAGAGCTTACTTATTTTGGGGTTAGGAGGCCTTAGGCACAGCACCTGCAATACCAAAAAGGTGAGATGAGGCGTCTCAGACAGGACTTACCTTTCCTCCAGGGCCATACCAGCAAGGGACAGGATAAACACAGTTGGACCTGGTAAACCTGGCGCATTTATTTTCTTCGTACGTAATATGAAATGACACTTTGGGGTGAGAATAATCATGAGCGTTTATGAAGTCATAGACCAAATGTGTGTGCCTTGTCAAGGCAACAGTTGAGATTTCCAAGGCATTTGAGTGAGTGGCAGCAGCTTAAGCTGTTGTGGGAACCATTCCACACTTCTTTAGAGAAGCTTTGTTAAAAGAGGGAGAGGAATTGTGAGTTTCTGGGTCTTTTAATTTCTGGTTTGTGTTCCCTTATCTGGAAATTGGGCACAAGGAATAGGGTAGAAGAGGCTTTTATGGCCTCTAAGGCCAGGGTTCTACCTCGGTGGGGTCTAGGACCAGTCAGACTCTTCCAGCCTGTCCCTCCCCAACAGCTGATCTATGACGCTGGTGTGCCCTTCATGGTCATCATGTTCACCTGGTCTGGCCTGGCTTGCCTTATCTTTCTGAACTGTGCCCTCAACTGGCCCACAGAAGCCTTTCCTGCCCCCGAGGAAGTCAACTACACGTGAGTGAGGGGGATTTTGGGTGGGAAGGGAACTCACCTTGCTACAGAGGGCAAGGCAGGGCTGTGGTGATTTGAGGAAGAGAAGCAACTTTGGAGTCAAACCTGAATTTGGAGCTCAGCTTTGCAAATTGCCTCAGTTATCTGAGCTCTGCTTTCTTGTCTGTACAGTGGACCTGATCCCACCTGCTCACAGGTGTTTTTTAAATAATAGAGCTGGCACATGACAGGTGGTCAAAACGTGGTTACTATTATTATTATTCTTTCTGGGTTTGGCAGGGAAATCAGAGTAGGAGGCACTTTGGCCATAGCATCAGATGCCATGTGGACCCAAAAGGGAGAATGCAAATGAATCAAGCATATGACCTTTTGTGGGGCAACTTGAATGCCAGCTTTTCCTAACCCTGTTTCAGTTCTGCAAGCAGCTAGGGATGATGCTCCAGGACCATGTGCATAGGGTGATATCTACACAGCTGGCATTTATCCAGTGCCTGCTGATGCCACACACAGTATTTAACCCCCACACTATTCTCAAATAATTGTATGATGTAAATTGTTTTTAACTCCATTAATCACAAAGGTCCAGAGAACAAGCTGACTTTCTGAAAGTCATACTATTGAAAAGGGGTGAAATCTAAGGTTGGAGTCAGGGTGACATAGAAACTAAATTCTTAATGATGCCTCTTTCATGGGAATGGCCCAAGTGAAAACCATTCATCTGCCATTTATTTACTGGGTCTTTGTTGAGTGATACTATGAGCAACAGAGATGAGCCCTGACCTAGGGAGCTTATTATCAATGCTAGATAAGGGGTGTTTGAGACCCCTGGGACAAACTGGAACAGCTGCCTAGAGGTTGAATGCATACTCTGTGTGGCTAATTCCCACATGCTCTGGCCTGGCTGCCAGCAGGAAGAAGATCAAGCTTATCGGGCTGGCCTTGGACCACAAGGTCACAGGTGACCGCTTTTATACCCACGTGACCAATGTAGGCCAGCGGCTGAGCCAGAAAGCCCCCAGCCTGGAGGAGGGGGCTGACACCTTCATCTCATCTCAAGATGTTCGTGGCACATCAGAAAATCTTCCTGAGAGTGAGTGACTGGTTAAGATGCCAGTCTTGGGGGCCAGGGCCATACATTCTTGTCTCTCCCCTGGTCTCACAATACTCATGCACAGGTGGTGGGCATACTCCCTATTTATGGGGAGAGGGGGATGTCAGCACTCAAAGAATTCTGGGTAATTCAGATTCAGGGTACCCTGCTGGATTCCCTGGGTGGGGCAGGAGCAGGAGGAGCTTCCAGCATGGGGCAGGGTCCCTGGCCTGTGGAGCAATGTCCCAATCTGTTGCATCAGGCTCAGCCAGGCCAGGGAGTCTGCAGGCTGAACCTTGCATCTACTGGCTGGGTCGCACCCTTTGCTGGCTGAAGAATGAGCTGCAACCACCTGCTGGGCCACCTCCTAAGGTGCTATAGATCCTGGGACTGATCAGCTCCACAGTTAGGGGAAGGAGGATAGACTTAAGAGTTTGAAGATAGGGTTTGAATCCTGCTTCCCATCTATAAGCTATGTGGCTTGGGTAGATCACTTTCCGTTGCTCCTGCCTTCCTTATCACAAATAGCACCCACCAAAATTAAACTAGCACTAATTACGCCCACCCAACAGGAATAGTTGTGACAGTTGGATGATGAATGTCACAGACACCAGAGCTCTTTGTGTGGAGTAAAACAGGTCCAGTCTTGAGGCAGTTATCCCAGCTGCCCATCTCCATAGTAGCCTGAGTCAGACCTACCTGCCACTTGCAACCCTGTGGCATTTTTGTCTTTCTGAGCTGCAGTTTCCTCACCTATAAAATATGGTAAAAAGCTGGACTCAGTGGTGTGCACCTGTAATCCCAACTACTTCGGAGGTTAAGGCGGGAGGATCACTTGAGCCCAGCTTAGGCAACATAGTGAGACCCTGTCTCAAAAAAAAAAAAAAAGTCATAAAGAGAAGGTTGTTGTTATTATTGCCTTATGAAGCATAGGGCACATACCCAGAGGTCACCTAAAAATGCTCTGTGGAGAAAGTTACAGAGCTTGGAGGGAGTAAGACTGAACCTTCCCTTCTCTGAAAAAACTAAAGTTGCACAGTGCTGGTGGAGTGGCTCAAGTGGTAGAGCACAGGCCTAGCAAGCTTGAGGCCCTGAGTTCAAACCCCAGTACCACAACAATAATAATAATACTTGCTCAAAACACCACTACTTCATCCAAAGTCACATAGTGTCAGAGCCCCATTAGACCTTCATGAGCTGGGACAGTTGGGGAAGTGGAAGATTTAGAGCTCGGGAGTACCCTGTGCTGTCTCCTCAGAGTCTGTCCCCTTCCGCAAGAGCCTCTGTTCCCCCATTTTCCTGTGGAGTCTCCTCACTATGGGCATGACCCAGTTGCGGGTTATCTTCTACATGGCCGCCATGAACAAGATGCTGGAGTACCTCATCACACGAGGCCAGAAGCACGGTGAGGCTCTGCTGAGACACTGGCATGAGGACGTAGGCGGCTCACCTGGTTGAGCTCTCTTCATTATGTCTCTCCTTCATCCACAGAGACGAATGAGCTGAGACAAAAGGTGGCAGAGACAGGTAGGGAGATGGAAGCAGGGCCCTGGCCCATATCCACCCCACCCCTGCCCTTTCCTCAGGGGCTGGACCCACCTCGTAGCTCTGGGCATCTGAGAACATTCATCAGAGGGAGGCAATTTTGGCCCTGTCTGTCCTCTGCTGGAAGTGGGTGGCTGTACCCATTGGGATGCTAGTATCCTGACCCCATTTCTCTTCCTGCTCAGTCGGGTTCTACTCCTCCATCTTTGGGGCTATGCAGTTGCTGTGCCTTCTTACCTGCCCCCTCATCGGCTACATCATGGACTGGCGGATCAAGGACTGCGTAGACACCCCGACTGAGGGGACTGCCCTTGGAGATGCCAGGTGATCCACATAGTGATGGTGACTGCAAGTAGACAGTCAGTGTTTTTCATTTTCTCTTGCGCGATCTTATCAGTTCCACAGTAGCTTTCTGAGGTGGATTGTCCTCACTTGGCAGATGAGGAGGCTGAGACCCAGGGTTACACAGTTAAGAAACCTGTGTAAGATCATATAGCAGGCTCCAGAACTCCTGTCACAAAAGGTATACTCCAAAGCCTTCTTAGGGTGGTGGGAGGGACAACTGATGTGTTAGGAATCTTTGTGCAGCAATCACCCCATCTTTAAACAGTGTCATCTCCTATGGTTGCCAAGAGCTGCGACTCTGGGAATGACTTAGCTGGGTGGTTCTGACTTGGGGTCTCATAAGATTGTGGTCTAGCTGTCGGCCAGGACTGCCTCATCTGAAGTATTGCCTGGGGTTTGAGAGTGATTTCCAAGCTCAGTCGTGTGGCTGGGGGCAGGGGATCCAGGTCCCTACTTGGTCTCTCAGGGCTGCTCTTGAAATGGTAGCTGGCTTTCCTGAGAGGAAGAGAGATGAGAGACAGATGAAGGCAAACTGCATTGTATTTCATAACATAATCTTACAAGTAACACACCATCACTTCTCTCACAGTCTGCCCATCACACAGAGTAAGCCTGGTATAATGGGGTAGGAGATGACACAAAGGTGGGAATAGGGATCTTCTTGAACCCAGGTCTTCTGGCTGCTTCTGCTGTTTTTGCATTAATCCAAACCAGTCCTATTTATGCAGAGAGAAAGGGGAAGACCAGGAGAGAAGGCATCTAAGAAACAGTCCAGTGGCTTCCTTCTCTGCCAGTGGTGCCACAGCTTTCCCCTTTTACCCTCTGCTCCTGATGGCAGAGCCCATCTATCTAGGACACATGGGCCATGTGCCCTTACCCTAGCCTACTGACCTCTCTCCTGGGCTGGCCTCAGAGTTCTTGATCATGCCAGAAAGACTACTGGGCAGACAGGGGCCAAGCCATCTCTGGAATGGTGTCTTCTTTTGTTCAGGTTGCTGGGAGAGGCGTGAGACTCCATTTTTCTACCTTCCATTTCATCCTCATGCACACTGATTTCAAGCTTCAGTGTGCATGAGATGCTCAGAGCATTTTTCATGCAGATTCCCTGGACCTTACTCTTGAGATTCTGAGGAGGTCTGGGATTGGGCCTGTGAATCTGAATTTTAAGAAGGCTCCCGGTTGATGCTTGCGTAGTTGGTTGGGGGAACCACACTTTGAGAAACAGAGCTGGAGAAACAATTTTCTGCCTTTTCTGATGTCCCAACAGAAGGCATATCAGCAGAGAGTGGGGCCAGGCTGGGAAACAGGGAGGTTGAGGCAGTGGCTGGTGACTGCCTGTTCTTCTCAGGGATGGGGCTGCCACCAAGCCTACTAGACCACGCTACCTCAAGATCCAGAAGCTCACTAACGCCATCAACGCCTTCACCCTGACCAACTTTCTGCTCATGGGTTTTGGTATCACCTGCCTCATCAACAACTTGCACCTCCAGGTACTCACTCTCCCTACCACCCGAGGACTCCTCCCTGGGGACAGTTCACCCAGGGTCTCACGCTTGTATGGCAGGAGCTTTACCATTTGAGCCACTCCACCAGCTCATGGAAGCATGGTTTTTATCTGCTGCTCTGGATCTGACTGTCTTTCGGGTTCCCCAGGAGGTATTCCTAGTCGAATGGGTTGATGGGTGATGGACTAGGCGTAGGAATGTGTAGGTGACCCATCGAGGCCATATCCCTCTTCCCCTGTCCACCTTCCCTCCTGCCTTGACACCTTTTCTTAATCTCTTCATTCTCTTTCGTTTCAGTTGGTAACCTTTGTCCTGCACACCATGGTGCGAGGTTTCTTCCACTCAGCCTGTGGAGGGCTCTATGCTGCAGTGTGAGTCATTTGGGCTGAGCCACCTTCCTGAGCTTTGCCCCGTAGCAGAGCTGAAAGGACCGGATGCCCTGAATGCACTTATCCAGTCCCTGCCTTGAGTGCTGACATCTCAGAGCTAGTGGGGATCTTGGAAGCTGGCTAGTCCACTCCTCTCTTAGAGCCCCACTAATGGGGGGCAGGTCACTTCCTCCAGGCTGCCCACGACCCTTCAGGAAGACTCCACTGTGAGGACATCTTCCCTGGAGGAAGCTGGAATATTTGGTCTGATGACACTTTGGACCTGTATCTGCTGTCTGCCCTCCTTCCCTACCCATGCCTGCCTGATAGGAATGTCCCAGTGGCAGTCTTCCTGATGACTTCCTTCCCCACATTGGACAGATCCCTGTTCCTTTTTTCTCCTAGTTTCCACTGCCAGGCACTGCTAAGGGACTCCCCTGCGTGGGTGAGGGAGTCAAAAAGGCGATTACAGTAGTGATGAGAAAATCTTAACTATTACCAAGGCCTCCTCACTGGCAGGAACACTCCAGCCCCCATTCTTCTCTCCCCACACCTGTATAAACCTCACTGCAGCCATCCTGGCAGAGGACGGCTCCTTCAATTCTTTCACTGTTCAAGCCATCACTTCTCAGTATCCTTGATTCTTCTTTCCTCACACTCCACATGCAGTTCATTAGCAGTCTCCACTAGCTCCAACTCTGACTCCTGCCCTTCTTTCCTGCTGCAACCTCACTCCAGGCCATTGTCACCATGTCATTGTAGTAGCCTCTAAACGGTCTCCAAGTCTGCTCTTGCCCCTTCTGTCTTATTTATTTTCGATACTGGGGCTTGAACTCAGGGCCTTCACCTTGAGCCACCCCACCAGCCCTATTTTTGTGAAGGGTTTTCCAAGATGGGGGTCTTGTGAACTCTTTGCCTGGGCTGGCTAATCTCTGCCTCCTGAGTAGCTAAGATTACAAGTGTGAGCCACCGGTGCCTGGCTATTTTTATTTATTCATTTATTTTTTGATTTGCAATGCTGGGGATCAAACCCATGGCCTTGCACATGCTAGGTAAGTGGTCTACAACTGAACTATATGTCCAGCCCTACTGCCAGTCTATCTTTAACATAGGGGCTGGGTCACCACTTATGATCTAAATCTCTTCATTAGTCTGTGACTTTCCATCTCCTTTCACTCAGTAAAGCCCAAAGGCTTTAAGGATTTACTGTGGACTAAAAGGCCCTATAAAATCTGGCCCCAGAATCTTTCTGCCCTGTTCCTTCCTTTCTTCCACATCCTTCATTGTGTTTCAGCTACACTGGTCACCTTGTACCTCAGAAACCCCAAGCATGTTCCCTGCTCAGGGCCTTCTCACTTTCTCCAGGTCTTTACCTTGCTGTCCTCTTTTTGCCAAGGCTTTCCCTGGCCATCCTGTCTATACTTGCAACCCCTTCCCCCACCCTTCTCTACTTAGCTTTTCTCCCCAGCTCTTAGCAAATGTCTAACAGACTATGCATTTATGTTGCTTCTTGTCTGACTGCCACCACTCTATCTGAATGCCACCTTCAGGAGGTATCCTTTTGGCTCATTGCCTTATCACAGCACCTAGAGCAGAGCCTGGCACATAGTAGTAGCTCAGTACACATGGGAAGAAGAAAGTGAGCAGACTAGTGAGGTTCATGCTGTCCCCATTGTAAGTGGAGGAAGTGGGGCCCAGAGAGGTTGAGCTACTGGGTAGTATCAGTATCGATAGTCAGGAGGTGCCAGAACTCAGCTCACTGGCCCTGAAGTCATGGCACACACACTCAAGGACAGGGACCAAGGAGCACATGCTGAGCCTGAATTCTAAACACCACTCTACCTAGCTGACGCAGAGCGATGTCCAAGGAGGGGACCACATGCCCCTGATTTTCTGCCTCTCCTCTTTGGACAGGTTCCCATCCAACCACTTTGGGACACTGACGGGCCTGCAGTCCCTCATCAGCGCTGTGGTTGCTCTGCTCCAGCAGCCACTCTTCATGGCCATGGTGGGACCCCTGCAGGGAGAGCCCTTCTGGGTGAGAGCTGGACTTGGTGTGGGGAGAACAAGAGTTACTTTCCTCGGTACAGGGGGAGAGGCAGGGCAGGGGCTTACATGTGATAGAACCCCTCACTTGTGTTGTCCCAGTTCCCAAACTAAATACCCATCAGAACCCATTGCAGAGTGTTAAAAACACAGGACCCCCACCTTTGAATCAGCCTCTCTTGGCCTGGCCCTAAGGGTCTGTTTTTTGAATAAGCTTCTGGGTGTTGTGCAGTGGACCAGGCATGATCTTTGGGTCTGGGTTCAGAAACTACTGGTCCCATTCATGTCAACCTAATGCAGGCAACCCTCTCCAGTGCTCCTCAAAGGGGTTTCTCTTCTCTTAGTCCAGAGCCCTCAGTGGTAGGTCACCCACCTGTACAGGAGGCAGCACTTTTCCTTGCATTGAACTGATGTCTGCCTCCCTAACACTGATCTTCTCTTTGCCCTGTGGGGCTACCCTCACCAAGAGTCCTCTTTCCATGAGAACTGTGATGAATTAACCACTCCTGCTCAGCTAGCAGTCACTGTGTGCCAAGCCCACCTTGTGCCTTTTTTCACTTAATCTTTGCTACAGTGGTTGTGAGGAGTGATTTAGAGTTGAGATTCCTTGCCCCAAGTCACACTATGAGTCATGTGGAGTGAGGTGTGAACTGAGTGAGCCTAAGAGGGCCACCACACTGGGTCCTGCAAGTCATCTGTCCTCCAGGCTGTACATCCAGCTCAGCTCTTTAAGCATGCCTGAGAACCTCTTTTCGCCCTCCTGAATGGGGTCCCACTGGCCAACATCTGCCAGCCCTGCAGGTCCTGTCTTAAAGGCAGCTTGACCAGCCCAGACGTGCAAGTGCTGTTGCCTTCCAGAGAGTGCCATGTCATGTGGGCACCAACTAGGTTCTGCTGTTTTCTAGACCCTGCCTTCTTATCTCAGACACTTTGCCAGGCTGCCGAACATTAATAAGATGCTGGTGTTACAGTGTGCCCACCACCTGCTGGCTTGTATTTCTCATTCTGGCTGTGGAGCTGGAGAAGAAATGGCTGCCTTCTCCTCTGTTGGAGTCTAGGATAGGATCCTGAGGAGGATGAGGGCAAACCAGCACCCATTTGACTTTCTTTATCTTTCCTTGCTCTAAAGGTGAACATGGGCCTCCTGTTACTTTCACTTCTGGGATTCCTGCTACCTTCCTACCTCTTTTACTACCGTGCCCGGCTCCAGAGGGAGTTCGCCAACAACTGGCCAGGCCCACAGAAGGTGCTCAGTGGCCCCAAGATGGCTACATAGACTCCTGAGACTAAAGGAACTAGATGACAGGCAACCAATGCCAGAGCAACCAAAGGGAATGCCCCAGATGGCTTTCTACCTGTAACGTGTGCAGAGCCAGGGGCCATGCATTTATAAATACTAAGAGGAGTTCTATTTTTGTAGGGACTTGCAAAAAGAAAAAAAAGTACTCTTTTAAAAAAATCCCCCAAAAGCAACCCTCCATTGACTGAGGACAGCGACTGTGCTAGCAGGATTGATCCTCCTTCCTTGGATTGGAGGAGACCAGGGGGCAGAGCTGCCCTTTCTTTAGGCCTTTGTCCCAGAGGTCTCACGGAACTGCCTTCTGGTGCCTCCAAAGGGCTGGTCACCGGACCAGGTTACCCTGAGGTTCTAGCTGCCAAGAGTGTGTGGTGCTTGCATGCATACGTGTGTGTGTGTGTGTGTGTGTGTGTGTGTGTGTGTGTGAGACAACCTTCCCCTCAGAAGGAAGGGGCTGGTGCTGGCAGTGTCCTGGATGGGGTGTGTGGGAGGGTTCAAGTCCCTTGGAGGGAGTGAAGCCCCTTCTAGAGGTTGGAAGGTGGGTTTCTGCACTCCTGCTGCCATTTACATGTCTTAGAGAAAATAAAAAGGGAAATGAGAATCTTGCTGGTGTGTTCCTGTGCCTTGGGTGTGTGGAGACAGAAAGCATCATTTTCTCCCCTCTCTCCCAATCCCTCTTCCTCATCAGGGCTCAGCTCGCTGTTAAGTGGGATGCTTGGGGTGCCAGTATGCTCTGATCTGGTTGTCTGGCTAGCTCTCTGTTCTCAATTATGTGCTCCCCTACCTTAGAGCCTAGAGGAAGACTAAATCCTGCCCCCATTCCCAGGGTTTGGGATAGATCAGGAAATTGGCCTTTCTCTGTATGGGGCGGGGGACGGGTAGGATACTGAAGAAAATGCAAAGAAATGACTTAAACTTTCCCACAAGAGCATCTTAGGTCTGCAGAAGGCAACACCTATTTGTAGTCCCCTGTCTTCCAACTTCATGCAAATTTTGAGCTTAATGTTAAAATTAAATATTTACATTTAACATAAGTGGCAGAAAGTAGGTCCCAGCCTTCTTCCAAGTTCTCAGAGCTAGAGTGGTCTCTAATGGCTTGATCCATCCTCCTCACTGTCCCTGTCCAGTGGAGGACCTCCAAATGCTAATGCTTAAGTCCAGCGTTCCATATAAGCCATATTCTCTCCCTTTGTTATAGGTGCTATTGAGGACTTAGTAACTAACAGACTGACCCATTTTCAAATGAGAAAACTGCCGAGAGGTTTACAGAGATTTGAACCTATTCCGGACTCTCAACACAGCCTTTTTCACACAATACAAACTCAGAATTGGACAACAGCCACCAGCGGCTTCAGCCCACTCGCAGAGGCCTTGCCCTGATGTCACTGTATCCTCTGTGCCTCACTCTCTTTTCTAAAAGTCTGGAGTAGGTTGACCTCCAGCGATCTATCAGATCCCACCAGATTTAGGGCGAGGGCAGGCGTAGGAAGCCAAGCCCGCGCGCGCCGGGTGATCGGTGTGGCCAGCAGGCGGCGCTGCGTGTCTGCGGGTGGCTCAGCCTGGGACCAGGGCTGGGGACCGCGACCTGGAGGGAAACCCCCTTGTGTCTCCTCACACTCTGGGGTTTTGGCCTCCAGAACACCACCTAGGCTTGCCCTGCCCCTCTTTTGATGTCTCCCCAGTCTTTCCCCGACCCGTCCCCCCAGCTTCCAAGCGTTATATTCAGCCCCACCGACCCCTCCATGGAAGGAGGGGGGTCTCGACGTCTAACCTGTCCCAGTTGAGCTTGGGACCGGGTAGGAGATAGAGGCAGACATGTGGGATTGCTAGGAAAGGGGTGTCATCACTTTCCCACTCCCGGAGAGGGGGGAGTTTGGGGAGGGGGCTGGGCAGGGGCGGAAGCGAGCTGGAGCCGTGTTTGTCGCGGCGCTGCCGAGAGGAACAGATGGCTGGGGAGGGGAAGAGGGTGCGTGGTGGGGAGGAGGAGGGGTGCGGGGGCCGGAGGATGAAGAACGAGGAATTTCGACGCCCTGAGTCTCTCAGGAGAAGCCCTCCTCCCTATCTCTTCCCAGAAGAAGGGGCGGACAAGTGGATGCCCCCCCACCCCCAAACCCACCCCCCCCACAGAGCCCCGGGCTCTGGCAGACCCCAGACCCTCGTGCGCAGCCGCCGCCCCCGCGCGCCCCTCCCCCGCTGGCGCCCTTGGCCCCGCAGGCTGGCGGGCCCGAGGCTCAGGGTGCCCCCCACCCGGGGCGCAGGGGTTAACGGGAGCCTTGATGCAAGGACGAGAGGGCGGTGGGAGGCGGGCCCTAGGTTGAGAGCGAATTCAGGGATTACAAATAGCTAAGGAAAAACGTGTTAATTGGAACTTTATGCAGATGAGCTGGGACTGGGGGTTGGGGTTAGAGGGAGAGAGCAGGTTAGAAGGGTGCTGGACTGAGTTCCAAGGGCAAGGGTGGAGGGCTCTGGCAAGGTAGGGAGTGGTGCATGTAGACCCACATAGGCCTGCGATGAACCTCCTGGAGGATCGCTAGTCTCTGGGGATGAGAAGCTTCATTTCTGACCCTCTGCCCCAGAAACGGGGTGTGGGACCCACCTGGGGACTCCGCCTCTGGGGTCCGGGACTGCAGCGTCTCACGTCGCTACCAAGCGAGCAGAGGGCGCACCCTGCAGGTGTCTGCTTCCGCTTGGCTGTGACCCATCCCCTATGGGGCTTGGTCCTGTTTGCTTCTTCCATCCTTTATTCCCACCCTAGCTTCAGCCTTTTCATGCAACGGGGCTGTACAATTTCCACCAAGTGCGCTAGTTGGGGGAGGGTGATTTAACTTTTCTCCCTTTTCTTTCTTTCCTGTCTGCCCCCACCGACCACCCCATCTTTGAGCAGATATTTCTCAAACTTTATGGAGTGCTCATAACCCACCTTATTGGTTGGAATACAGATTCCAGGGCCACCAGCAGTCTGATTCAGAAGGGTTGAGGGGCTCAGGAATGAGCCTACCACTTATTTTTAGAATCACCGGGCAAGGGATGGATGGGCTGGAAAAACGGGGCGCGGCGTGGGGGGCACTTCTCACAGCTCGTTCCGCCCCAAGCCTCACCCTGTTCGCTCTGTACAGTATGGCTTCTCTGTTTCTGGTGTGATGGTACCAAGCATGGAGAAGGTGGAAGGAAGGAAGGAAGCAAGCATGGAAGGAAGATAAAGGAGTGCACCTGGCTCTTCTCTTTCTGAGCAGGGTTTTCCCTTTCCTTTCTCCCTGTCAGTTCCCTCCCCCTCCCCTAGCTTCCTCATCTATTTTCTCTCTTGCTCTATTAACCTCCCTTCTTCCTCCCTCTTCTGTAGTTCCAGGAAGGATTTTGGAATAGTCCATTTGGGCCTGGGAGGGGATGGCAGAAACAACTGAAGTCCCCACCTTCAAAACAAAGAGCCAAAGACACCTGTGGGGGTGAAAGAAAACAGGAAAGAAGCAGGACTTAAGGAAAGACAATAATGACAAACATGTAAGTCATTTTTCCATGGGCTCTTTTAGGCAGGCACTGTTGCCCCCAGTTTTGGAAGCAAATAAAACCTAAAGCTAGATGTTCAGAGAAGTTAAGTAACTTGCCCAAGGTCACACAGTAAATGAGAGAATAATTGGATCTTAACTGGTCCACTCCCTCAAGCTATTTCTCCAAAGGCCACTGGATAGCTGTCCAGGTCTAATCTCCCTATTCCCTCCCCCCAGGGGCAGTGGGATGAGGGAGGGCGTCTTTTACAGAAATGAAAGGAGATGGATGCTCAGGTTTCAGAACATCTGACAGGTCTGGTTGGCATTAAAAATTCATGTAGAAACCTGACCCCAGCTGGACCACGGGCCTGCCACCTGGACTGTCCCTGCCTTCTGGCCTTTCAGAATCTGGTGGGCAAATGTCCTGATGTCGGAGGTCTTTGTATTTCATAGGCGAGGAGTCCTCTCACAGATTAGTGATGTGAAGTGAGGAGCCAGTCGCTCAGAAAGCCAGGCTGAGAACCCTCCCCCCCACCCCCCTGGGTGTAAGAACCTTACAGGCTTAAGGGCTTATAAACCTTGTCATCTGGCGTCCTTCTATCCCTCTCCCCAGGCGGCTAGATGCTCACTCTCAGTTTAGGATGGCTGAAAGCTTGCTGTGCTTTCCAAGGTGGCCACTAGGGAGCAGGTGGCTACTTGGAGGGAGCCAGAGCCCTGCTTCTGTCTGTTGCTTTGAAGGACAGTAAAGAATCCCAGTGTCTGGTCAGGGAGATGCAGTCTTGGCCCCGGAGAAGGGCTCTGGAGCCCTTCTGAGGAAAGTGGGGAGAGGTTTCCTAGTTTGGGCGAGATTAAGGAACTTTAGAGAGCTTTCAAAGTAGGTTTGTGGGTTTCAAGTGTGTAATAACTGGTGGCCAGTTGGACCCACTCATTCTAACTGGAGATTAGGCTTTGTTTGTGGCCATGAGAGAAGAGGTGAAAAAAGCAGTTGGTTCTGGACTCTGAAAGATCTCTGATGCTTTCCTAAGGCATTTTATCTTCAACCTGTAGGCAACAGGGAGCCATTAGGGGTTCCTGAGGGAGTGACATAGTGACATAATGCAAATTTTGGCAGATGAATTGGTCATGATGGGCAGGTTGGGTGGGTGGGAGAGTTGAGTGCAAGAAAACCAGCAATGAGATTAATGCTATTTTCTTTTATATTCTAGGCATGAGGTAATGAGTAGTGGGGCAGGGAGTTGGTGGGGGGAATAGGAAGGAGAGGATGGACTAGGGCCAGGAAGAGCATTGGGTAATCAAGTAGATCCAGGAGATTAGAGAAAGGGAGGCGTTAACTACAACTAGACTAGGCGTCTGGCAGAGGAAAATAATGCAGAACGGGGCACCCTCCCAGAACGGGGGAGGTGAATGAATTTTGTTTCTTTCAGGAGGTAGGAGAGTGTTGGACAAGTCCCTTCTCCTCTCTCAATTTCACCACTGGAGCATTAGTGGGGGTTGAATGGGATGGCCTTGAACGTCCCTTCTATTTCAGGGTGTGTGGCTCAAAGTTGTAAATCTGGGTTGTCTGGAGAGGGTGGGGGTCTGTGCATGTGAGATCTTTGGGGGTGGTCTCCGTGCTGGGTCCTGGTTGAGAGGGTATGCATGTATGTCCATATCTGGGGTGCATCTGTCTGTGGGAACCGTGGGTGGCTGGCATGCCTGCACGTGCTGCGTAGCTCCGCTTAGTATGAGTGTGTGCTAGTGGGAGCTGGAGAGTGTGGGTGTGCACGTGATGGGCGTCCGTGGGTCTGTCTGGACTGGTGGTGGCAGCGGTGGGGGCTGGTGGAGAGCAGCATTGCTCTAGGCTTCTTCCTGAGGCTCACACACTCCTCCTGCTCTCACTGTTCTGAAATAGCATCTGGACCCTTGCAAGGCCCATGAATATTTCACAATGATAATTCTGTGACCTGGACAGCCTGCCTCTGATTTACCAGCATCTCCCTCACCCTGCCCAGGCTTAGCAGCCCCTCCTCCATCAGAACTGTAGCCTGGCTTGCCCTCCAATCCTACTCCTGGGTCTCCTCAAAGCTGGCCTGACATAGTCCCCCAAAATACCCCAGACTCACTCCTGAACCTCACTAGCCCTTCATTTACCCTGTACCCATATTCAAAGTCCACCTGCCTCAGGCCTTAGAGGCTAACTTCTGTTTTCATGTTCTCTTTTCACCATCCTCAGTCACAGAATCTTGGCATCTACTAAGCACCCACATCTCTCTGCCTTACCATTCCCACCTCCCAAGCTAGACCCTTAACCCTAAATTCCAACCACTAAGCTTCAGTTGATTCTGACTGATGATTCAAGTCCAAACCTGAATACCTACTCTTTCTTAGCCTGTTCTCTTCCTGGTCCTCAGCTTCTCCTTCACAATGCAGAAAAGACAAAACATCACAACTCAAGCTAGCAAGGCACCTTAATTTAGGATTCTTGTCCCTCTGATTATCCTCACCCCTTGACCTCTTTTTTAACCTTGTTTCTCTCACCTGGTCCATCTCTAGTAGCTTCTATACCACAGGAACTAATGGAGAGAGACTAGATGTCTACCAGACCACTGTGTATACCTGTTCAGGTTGTGCACTGTACAAGGACACTCAGCTGAGAGGGTAAATGCAAGCTGAAATCCAGTCTCCTCACTAAGGTGTTTGCTCTGGTGTGTGACTGTGTTCTCCTGAGGAAGAGACGCCTTCTCCAGATTTGCCCAAGCCTTGTTTGGGTTGGCTGTGCCTGTGGGTATCTAAGTTACTTCTCTTTGAGAACCGTTCTTTCCTGAAGGTGCCATTAGCCAGGCTGGTGGCCCATTCCAGGCTCAGTTCCTCAGCCACCAGATACTTCAGGATTGACTATGGCTGCTTCTCCTGGACAAATGAGATGAGGTGCTATCAGCACACATCCTTGGCTGTCAGACTTTACCTTGCTGGAACACGGGGGTCACACTAATCTTCTCCAGGTTTCCACTTCTTGTCAAACAGGAGCTCAAACACCAGCTCCAACGAGCAGGCGGCTCTTGGATGGCCTGATATGGTTCTTCCTTCTCTAGCCCTTCAGCCCTGAAATCCTTACAGTTCTAAGCCCTCATCCCACTTTTGAGATCTTGAGCCAAAAGATCTTACAGGAGATAAAATAATAGAATTTTTTAATAAATTTTTTTCCCAAACAATTTCTTTTGATCTTCACCACACAGGGGCCATGATGGAGAGGAACCCACTCTCCAGGCGCCCTAAAAAATGTCCTGGGTAGACTTAGGAGAAAAGTATTCCTCCAGTGTCAGGAGGCTGAGGGGACCAGGATAAGCAGGGACCACGGTCAGCCTGGCCCTCGCTGAGGCATCCCTCCGAAGGGTCCTGGGTGGGGCTCCCCTGGGGGGAGCTTCCAAAGGCTCTGCTGGTGGAAGATGCTCTGCAGACAAAGCCCCTCTGAGTCCACTGTGGGTCCTAGAGAGAGGGGGTCAGCGGCTGCCTGGGGTATCCCATCCCAGCTTTGGGATGGGGATGAAGAGTTAATGGCTAGAATTAGGGTGAGTAAAACCGAGTCACCATACACACCCTCTTGGGACTGCCAAGAAGAGCCCAGAAGGCAAGGAGAGGCTGCCTGATCCCAGGGAGGAGAGGAGTAAGGAGGGCAAAAAAAAAGTCAGCAGGCTAGGGGTGGTGGGTGGGGATGGGGATGAGGATGGGGCCAGAGCCGCAGCTCAGCCTGGAGAGAAGGGGATACTGAACACTGGCCTCTTCAGTCTCAGCACCGCAGTCAGAGGTGATGGGGCGCTAGAAGCAGGAGGCAAAGCAGAGGGGTGGAGAGCCGGGCACAGAGCGCGGGGCCACGTGAGTCCACGGGCGCCTGGCACGCAGCCCCGGGGCACGTCTGCTCCCCTCGCTGGTCCTCGCCCCCGTATCCCCCCCAGTAGTCGTCCTCGGTGGGCGCGTCCCCGCCCTGGCGCCCCCGCGAGTCCTCGGCGGGCAGGTCTCGGTAGAGGGTGGAGGGGTCGGCGGGGGGCGCGCCAGCCTCAGCTACCCCGTACAGGTGGTTGGAGGAGCTGTTGCCTCGGGCGCGGCTGCCGGGCCGCGTGGGCGCCGCGGGTGGGCACGACTGGAAGTCGGCCTCGCGGAGTGCGCGCAGGTCTCGGCCCTGACGCTCGGGCGGGGTGGCGCAGGTCACGTCGGAGCTGGACACGCGCGCGCGCTGGAACCAGGCCCAGAGCGGCCGCGCGCGGCAGTCGCACGCCCAGGGGTTGGCGTTGAGCCGCAGGAACTCGAGCGCGGGCAGGTCGGCCAGCGCCTCGCCCGGCAGCGAGGCCAGACTGTTGTTGAACAGGTAGAGGATGGTGAGGCGGCTGAGGCCGCGGAAGGCCGCGCGGTGCACGCCCTGCAGTCGGTTCCCATGCAGGAGTAGCCGGTCCAGGCTGCCTAGGCCGCGGAACACGTGCTCTGTGAGCAGCCGCAGGCGGTTCCCGTGGAGGAAGAGGTGGCTCAGGTTGGCCAGGTCCGCGAACAGGTCATCCTGGGTGGGGAAAGGAAAAGAAGAGAGCAGTACTGAGGCAGAGTGGGGACTCCATCCCGGGGTCTGGGTGAGGAGAGGAAGGGGAAAGCCCTGTATTTCAATCCTGCCTCCTCTAATCTGTTTGCTGAAGGAAAAGCTATACAGTCAGTGGTTCTTAAGATCCCTGAGTGCTGCCCAGTGCTTCTGATCTGGCAGGTCTAGGGTGCAGCCTGAGAATCTGCACGTGTTTCCAAGCTCCCAGATGATGCTGGTGGGATTGTCTAATGGACCGAACTTTGAGAATGAGAATCTCTGATTTGGTTAAGCATGCCGACTGGGGAGCCAGACTTTCTGATTTCAGATCCTAGATCCTCCATTAACTGTGCCACCTTGGATAACGCACTCTGTTTCTGTGTCTCAGTTTTCTTATCTGTAAAATGTGGAGATCAGTTGAAGCATCGTGTATTAGGGTGCTTGGAAGAAGTTTCCATGTGGCTGGCATTCTACTTTGGCCGTTCTTGTTAGCTTAGCCTAGTCAGTAATCTCTGGAAGTCTGTCTCCTCATTTTTAGGTGGTGATGAGTGTACCTCCTTCATGAGTCTGTTCTGAGAATCAGGATAGCAGTTAATATAAAGTTTACATGAGTGAGGTACTAAGTACAGGACCTGTGGAACACATATTCATTTCAGTGATGAAGTTGGAGTTGGAGTGCTGGTTCAAAGTTCAGCTTGCCTTTTCCCTAGCTGCTGGGCATCCTATTTAACCTCATGGAATCTCAGTTTCCTTAGTATATTTAACGAGGAAAAATGCCTCCCTAATAGAGGGTTAGATGATACCATGCTGTTGAAGGTATACTATCTGACAGAAGCTTAGCCAACCATCAATAACTCATGGTTGTCAGGACAGTAGGGGCTCAGTTAGAATTAGGTCCCATTTCTTTTCCTCTAAAAGAGGAGTTCCCTGGGGACCAGAAGTTCTCCTATTGGGCTGGGTTATTTAGGGGACCAGGTGTCAGCTCCACCTCTCCTCCCCCACCAGAGGCAGCAGGGAGAGAAGAAGCTGATTTGTTGGATACCCTGCATCACTACTAGCCTCCTTAGAGAAGCTGTCTGACCTTCCTGGGGTGGAGGAGTCTGGTGAGTTCGGGAAAGACCACAGAATTATGGTTTAGAATTAACAGGTGTGCGGGTGTGACCCGAGGTAGGGGTGGACTCTGCCAGGAATTCTAAATGATCAGCTGACTTGGGAGCTAGTTCTTTGGGATCCTCTAGCTCAACCTATTTTCAACAGAGTACAGTGAGGTCCAAAAGAATGAAGGGCTTGCCTGCCTTGAGGGCCCTCCCTCATCCCATCCCTTTCTTTAGGTCCCAGGATGTCTGACTCTCAGGGATGTGGGCATGCTCCATGTTTATGCCAGGTGACCTGGAGTCCTGTTACCTTACTGTAGCTCTCCCTTCTTCTTTCCACTGCCTGGGGAGATCATCTCCACACATCACCCAGGAGCCTGGTCGGAGGCCTTAGGTGGGGGGAGGGCACTGAGTCCCAGCCCACACCCACAGCCTCCACCTTCCTGTGCTCCTTTGTGCTCTCGCCCCCTCCCATCTGGCTTCCGCCCTCTCTGCTATAGGAACTGAGCCTGCCAAGAGCCCTCCACTTGGCCACATTGAGATCCGTCCCCCTCAACCTTCTCACTGCCTCTGACACCAGCTATCCCCCAACCTTCCACCACACCACCATCTAGAATTCCACTTCAAATGGCTCCCTGCTCCTCCCTAGCCTCAGCCTTGCTCATCTTTAGTCTGGTGCCCTTGTCTTTCTCTTTCAGGACCACCCAGAGTGGACTCTGAATCCTTCCACTCAAATACCTACTTAGGATTTCTCTTTTTCATAGAGTGCCAGCAAGTGGAAGATGCACCAGAACTATATGGTCAGAGGATCAATATGGGAAAGGGAAGAGGGGTGGTCAGCCCTTTGGGGACTCCCAAGAGATCAGGAAGGGAAGACCTAAGGTTCAGGCACCCTAGGGATCTCAGGTGCTTTTGATCCATAGCCCCAAATTTTATCTCTCCTCTTTGTTTCTCTACAAACTGTTCTGCCCCTCCCCTCCCTGAGCCTCAGCTTTGGGATCCACTCCCTTCCTTCCCCCATTTAAGCTGTTGCCAAATCCCATCACCCTTCCTGGGCTGCAGCTCTTAAATCCGGTCCTTCCTCCTGTGCATTAATAAGCTTTTGACTTTCACAGCCCTAGCCCTCCCCCATCACCCTCTTGCTCTCCCTCCCTCCCTCTGGGCTGAGAGCTTCTGCTAAAGTCATCCTCTTCCATTTCAAAAACCACATCTCCCTCACCTCCCGCCTGGATGGTTCATAGCTCTCTGCATCCATTTGGAATCTTAACGCAGCATCCCTGCCCCCCACCTTCCTCTTCCCTGGACAGCATCCTGTTCTTAACCTTGCCTCCCTTCAACCTTCTAGCTCCTGGCCCTAGTAGAGCAGCCAGGCTGTATGACCTCGCATAGCTCCTGGCACCTGTCTGGGCCTCAGTGCGTTCATCTGTGAAACAAGTGCCGTGGGGGTGGTTGATCTTTAAGGTCCCCTCAGCATCTGCTATTTATGAGTTGGTGAGCATTGGAATGGACCTCATTCATTCAGCAAAGCTGTCATGCGTGCATGCTCTGTGCCAAGCACCTCCACTCATGGGGCTTACCCGTCCATGGTGGGTATCATCATCACCACTGGCGTCAGCAGCATCAGGCAGATGACTTACCCGGCTTTCACTATGTTCCAAGCCCTGTGCTGCACATATCCTGTATAGCAGCTTAATCATCACAGCCCCATGAGATAGATGCTATGATTATCTTCATTTTGGATTAGGAGCGGTAGGCTACAAGAGGGGAAGTAACTTGCCCAGAGCCCAACAGCTAACAGAAGTGGAACATGGACTCCAGAGAGGGCTCTGAACAACGGCATTCTGCAGCCAGCCAGATCTGGGCCAATTCTAGGCTGTGTTCCTTACTAGCTGGTAACCTCAAACTGGCCTTAACTTTGCTGCTAAGTGATCAGTGATGTTGCCATTCATTGCATATCAACTCTGTACTGGACAATGGACTGAGCCCTTTCCAAGTAGCGTCTCCTTTAATCCTTACACACCCCTGTCCCAAGGGACAGGCCATTATTTCTGTTTCACAAATGAATCCATGGAGGTGCAGAGTGGTTAAGTAACTTATCCAAAGCCACACAGCAAATCAGTGGTGGGGCTGGGATTCAAACTCAGATCTGTCTGAGCACAGGGATTGCTCTTAAACACTACGCAGGCCACTGTGATGACTAAAAGAAAGAATGAGCATCTTTATCATCTGGCTGCCCTCCAGCAGGAAATAGGTTCCAGCAGAGCAGGGATACTGTTTTTGTTCACCCCCAAATCCCTGGCATCCTGCACACTGCCTGGCATGAAATAGGTGCTCAGTAAATATCTGTTGGTGAATGAACTCACCTGGCACAGTGCCTGGCACGCAGAAGACAGCATGTGAGAACCTCTACCCCACCCCATTTCTATCTCCCTGCCACAACCCCTCAGGGAGCCTCCTCCAATGCTTCCTTCTTAGGGCAGGCCTGGTCCTGTCTTGGGTCACATCTACACCCTGTGGATCTCACTGCAGCCCACGTTTCCTCACCTACCTGTGGCATCTCCCAGCCTAGTTCCGCCAGGCAGTTCACAGGAGGAGGCTGTCTCTTTCCTTTTCTATAAAGGGCCAGGTGTGAAGATGTTTCCTTCCCATGATACCCAGTACCACTCATGCCAAGGGTGTGCAGAAAAAAATGCTTCCTAGTTCAGAAGACCCCAGTAGCCACTAGGGACCCCCTCAGTTTGGGTCTTTGCTGACCTCAGGCCTGGATCTCTGTTCATGGCCCAAGAGCAGATGTATGCCAGGTCTTGATAACATAATTTATTCAGCACTGAGTTCTGTGCTTCACACACACTAACTCATCTCCTCCTTACAGCCACTCTTTATGGAAAGTTGTTTTTATTATTCCCAGTTTATGGAAGAGGAAACTGATGTCCTAAGAGGGAAAACCACTTACCTAAAGTTAAATAATGAGCAGCATACACACACACACACACGCGCACACACACACACACACACACACACTGGTAGCAGTAGTGGTAGTAATAAAAATTCAGGTGGAACTGGGCGCAGTGGCTCATGCCTGTAATCCTGGCTATTTGGGAGGCTGAGATTGAGAGGATCATGGTTTGAGGCCAGCTCAGGCAGACAGTCTGTGAGATCCTATCTCCAAAATAACTAGAGTAGGGGCTAGCAGAGTGGCTCAAATGGTAGAGCACCTGCTTAGCAAGTGTGAAGCTGGGTTCAAACCAAAAAGTAACCAGAGCAAAATGGAATGGAGGTGTGGCTCAAGCGGTAGAGCACCTGCTTTGCAAGCATGAACCCCAATCCCACAAAAAAAAAAGAAAGAAAATACAGGTTGAGGATCCCTAATCAAAAATCTGAAATCAGAAATGCTCCAAAATTCGAAACATTTGGGACATGGATACAATGCCACAAGTGGAGAATCCCACAACACAAAACTTTGTTTCATGAACAAAATTATTAAAATGTGTAAAACTGTCTTCAGGCTGTATTACAGGTGTATATGAAACATAAATAATTTTGTGCTCAGACTCGTGTCCCATCCCCAAGATATCTTGTGATGTTGTACAAATATTCCAAAGTCTGAAAATCTCTGAAACCTGAAATACTTCTGTTCCCCGGCATTTCATAAGAGCACTCAACTTGTAATATAACTAAAGTGCCCACATCTTGGAGTGTGGCCTTGTGCTGATTGCCCTCTATTTTAATCCTTGAAAAAACTTCTAAATAAGTATTATTAAGTGCTACTGTGATTGACAACTAACCGATGAGGACATGGAGATTGAGGCAGGAATTTTTCCAGAGCCAGTCAGGAGACAGGATTTGAACCTTGGTCTGGCAGACTGCAAAGCATGTGTTGTCAAAAACAAGCCCACTCTGGCTAAAGGCTTGGCTCAAGTGGTAGAGTGCCTGCCTTGCAAGCGCAGAGCCCTGAGTTTAAACCCCAGCACCACAAAACAAAACAAAATCTCCCCAAACCCCAGCTCACTCAACTGTATTGTGGGGTAGCATTCCCCTGGAGATTTATATTTAGGGCCATATCTACAAAGTCCTCAAGATGCCCAGCCTCCCTTCTTGATTGTTAACAGTGAGGCGAAAACAATAGGAATGAGATGAGATGGTGTGTGCACTTGGTACACCAGGTGTTTCTAGGTAAGTTTAAGAAGAACAGGAAGGGAAGGTGTTCTGGAACCCACCCATGGCTTCAGTATAATCCTTGAACTTGACCCAGATCTCTAGGATGAAGTTCAAGACAGGGCACTTCACTGAGACCAGTGTTAAATAAGGTCATTTCTTTTTTTTCTAAACAGTATTTTAACAAGCATTTATATAGTGCTTAACGTATGCCAGGCACTATTCTAAGTGCTTCACAAATTATTCATGCACTTAATGCTTATAAAATCCCTAGGAGATGGGTGCTCTTATTATCCCCATTTTACAGATGGGAAACTGAGGACCCAGTTAAAAATGTCACACACTTGGAAGTGTCAGGGTTAATACCTATCAGGTGATCAGCACAGTATTGGACACACTGTGTGCCCACTAAATGCTAGTGCTGCTTCAGTTATGATCACTGCTTATGCAATGTAACTCCAACACACTATGCATTTTACTGCCTGCCTTCTCCATTAGCATTCAATTCCTGTGAAGGCAGGGAGTGTTCTGTCTGCTTCTATATTCCTAGCACCAAGTACATGTACATCCGGGTGCTCAATAAATGTGTGTTAAATGATCACAATTTCTATTATCATGAGCATAATCTACATGAACCTGATTTTCCAGCCAGCAGATTGGTGACCATTAGGAATCAGCCCTGGGTGGGGAGGAGGCAATGCCCTCCAGGTGGGGTGGGTGGGGGTTGGGGCTAAGATGGTGTGGAGACTGAAAAATCCTTGCCACTTTCCAGTCAGAGACTGTGAAACCAAGGAAGGCTTTCTCCTTGGGTGGTTTAGAGGGTGTGTTACTGCTTCCTGGGGAAATGGAATGGGAGGATTTGACTGTCAGTCAGCATAACAACAATAATAAACAAAAGTTAGATCAATAATAATAACAATAAATAACAATTACTGTTACTCCTTTGGTAGTTTTGAAAACATCCATTTTCCAGCTGTATTACAGAGTTTGGTCCTTTTTTCTGCATTCCCTTGCACTGAGATGACAGGTGTGGGGAATGGAAATCTAAAAAGGGTAGGGTTTTCCCTTGTCCCATTACCCAGTGAGCTGTAAAAGGTGGAACATTCTGTGAGACCCCTGTTACAGTGGCTCTGCTCTCTTGCTCTGCTTGCCTTTGAGGTGGGCAGGCTCTGGGGTGGATGAGAAGAGCATTTGAAAAGGCCTTGGGGGCAGGGGGCTGGGGAAAGGCAGAGGCCCTAGAATGCAAACATGGGGAAAGGAGAGACCACAGAAAGAAACACACACACACCCAGACAGACATGGGGGAGTGTGCAGAGTGGGTGTGTGAAGGGAGACAGACAGAAGAGGCAGAGGGAGACAGATGGGGGAGGCAAGTTAGGGAGAGAGGCAGAGGGACAGGAAGGGAAAGACAGACAAAGTAAAGACTCTGGAGAATGTGTGAGGGTCAGACATTTAGGAATGGGATAGAGAAACAGAGAGGTGGAGATGCTGAGACAGGGAAAGTGGCCTGGGGAGAGTGGAAGGACACATAGACACAGCAGCAGAGAGAGAGTCCAGCTGGGGACTGGGGTGAGGGGTGGAGGGACTCACCTGTAGGTGGAGTAGGCTGTTCTCCTGGAGGTAGAGGTACTGCAGGCTGATGAGGCCTCTGAAGATGTTGCCTGGCAAGCTGCTGAGCTGGCAGCGGTACAGATGCAAGGACTGCAGCCGCTCCAGGCCCTGGAAGGTGTCAGGCTCCAGGGAGCGCAGGTGCCGATTGTCACCGAGGTCCAGCTCCTCCAGGGCCTGCAGGTGGCGGAAGGTGCCCGGGTAGATGGTGGAGAGATTGTTGGAAAAGAGCCACAGGGTGAGCAGGTTGGGCCCAAAGGTGCCAGGCCGCAGTGTGCGGATGAGGTTGTTCTGCAAGAAGAGTCGCTGTGTGCTGGGCGGTAGGGACAGCGGCACTGAAGAGAAGTTGTTGGCCTGGCAGCTCACGGTGGGTGGGGACGAGTAGCAGGTGCAGAGCATGGGGCAGCTGGGGGCCGCCGGGTGCAGGGCCAGGAGCATCAGCAGCAGGCAAGCTGAGGCAGGACCTGTCAGGAGAGGGAAGTGAAGGCTCCCCAGGAGGTGGTTGCTGGGTGGGCTGTGAGGCAGGAGTGTTGGCCAGGGGCTGTTACTCACCCGCTAAGGCCTGGAGTCTTGGTGCCAGGATACCTAGGGGCTTTCAGATGCAACCTCAGAGTGTCCAGAGGCCTGGTCACATCACTTTACTTTCCAGGCTCCTTTGAGGTTTGCAAACTTCCTTTTTTGAGGTATATTAAAAAATAATACCAAGAGGACACTGTAGAAAGCACTGTGACACATTTAAAGGTGTTTGTTCAGCGAGTGTCTTGTCATTTCTGTTGTATGTTTGACCTTGTTTTGAGGTTAGTGTCAAAAAACTAATGGTGAGAGTTTCTGTCTCTTGGTAATGAAGGGTTGGGGAGCTCCTTGTTGTGGAGGAAGCCCTTTGTAGGGTGTTTAGCAGGGCTCTGCCTTCCTTCCACCAGATGCCAGCAGCACCCTGCCCCCAGTTGTGACAACCAAAATGTCTCCAGACATTTCCAAATGTCCTCTGAGGAGCAAAGCCCACCCACTCGAGGATGAGACTAACTTGAGATTCTCTGTGAATCTAAGGCCAGTGTGAAATGACCCTCTGGATACCTGGGGGTCCAGCCTTGCCCAGCCCACTGGTGGCTACAGTCCTCCTCCCTCACCAGGGAAGAACTGGAGCCTCTCTGCTCTGGGAGGGTCTGTAGGGACCAGGGGAAAGTAGGTCTCTGCTTTGGGCCCCTAGCCGCAGGCAACAGATCAGCTGGGGCCATGGAGAGAATGCAGCTCCAAGACCCCACATGTGCAAAGCAAATCAGATTCTCAGGGTAGAGGGGGCTGGGAATATGCATTCTATACTGCAGGTTCTTCCCAAAGTCACCTTTAAAAGTCCTCGCTCTCAGTATCTGGGGTTGAACTCAGGATCTCGAACTTACTAGGCAGGTGCTCTCCCTCTTGAGCCATGCCTCCAGCTCTTCTCCTATTGGTTATTTTTGAAATAGGGTCTTGTTTTATGCCTGGACAGGCCTGGACAGTGATCTTCCTGTCTGTGATTCCCAGTATTATAGCTGGGATGACAAGCACACACCCCTGCACCCAGGCATTGGTTGAGATGGGGTCTTTTGAACTTTGCCTGGCTGATCTTGAATGGAGATCCTCCAGATCTCTGCCTCCCAAGTAGCTAGGATTATAGGCTTGAGACATCACATCCATCCCAAAGTAATTTTTAAAGGTTGGATCTGTTTCATTCTTCTTATGACACAGATGCCAGCTAAGGTGCAGGGGCCTTAAGTGTTGAAGGTATGCGCCTGTACTTCCGTGCTATAGCAAGGAGAGTGGGCCCCCTCCTCCATCCCTTCCCTGGCCTTCCTGCCCTCACTGCAGCATAACAGTTTGGGCTGGAGCTAGACTGACCTCTATCACCATTCCTAGATGGTTTCTGGGATTTTCTTCTGGCAGCTTTCCCTTGAGAGAGGGGAGCCTGCACCCCTAAAGCCAGGCAGCCATTCTCTGGGCACACAGCAACGGAACACTTACAGCTTCAAGCAATAAATACACTAGACCTTGGAAGGCAAAAGGAAGAAGGCCTACTGTTCCCCAGAACCTCTGAGGTTGAGACCCTGGGGAAGGCTGAGGGGTGGGTGACTTTGGGTGTGAGACCTCTGAGGTTGTGAACTGCACATACTCAGGTGGTTTTGAGTGCGATGTCTCACGCTCCCGAGGCTGCTGTGTGTATGAATGCATGCCTGTGTGTGATTTGGGGTGATGGTGTGAGCCAGGTGCTCACTACAGGAGGTGCTGAGCAGCCAGGTGTGTGCGCACGGCGCAGCAACGACAGGCCCGCATGCAGCGTTGGCACCACAGATGCTGGGATGTGCCTCCTCCCCAGGGCCAGCACACGGATGCAGAGTGGGGAACCCCGTGCCCCGTGTGCAGTTTCTCGCTCCTTGTACCACCTAGTACAGCCCAGGCCCCTCCCGGCACTGTGCACAGTGCGTGTGAGCGTGTGCGGGAAGGGCCTTCCTCCGCGTGTGTGTGAGTGCCGGGCCCCGTGCGTGTGTAGGCTGGGTGTGATGTAATACTCGGTGACACAGCGCGGCTGTTCCATTCGTTCACACCACCTCCACATTTCTCGGCCCTTCTCACCCCCTCCCCCGTGCGGCGTTTCACGATTACTTTCTCCTCGAGTTTTTCTTTCAGAACCACGTGGGGTGGAGAAGCATATCTCTCACCCTTGATACGAACCAGGCAGGAGTGGGTTGTGGGAGCACAGTGGAGGACGCTGGTTGGTTTCCTGAGTGTTGAGGTTTGGGCCTTAGAATTGGATGGTCCAGAGATGCCAAGACTCCAGGTTCATGTAGTTTAGGCCTCTGTTTTATAGAAGTGGCAACTGGGGCTCAAGAGAGGCAAACCAGTCACCCAAGGTCATAACAGTGGTGTAGGGCAAGGACCAGAAAAAGATTTTCCTGATGCCTAGGCAGGCCACTTCCCTTCCTGTCAGAGTCACCCTCTGAGCTCTGCCTCTCCAAGAACTGGACACCAAAGGAAGCCAAATTCTTCTCTGATCCCCTAATCCTGCCTTATCCACAAACTCACAAGAGTGTGAGTTATGATGGCTACCAGTCCCCTCTAACCTCCAGAGCTGACTGCCATCGCTGGAGAGACAGAGGGAAAGTCCACAAGCCCAGAAGGCCCCAGATTCAGGGGTCACCAGGGACTCTTTCAGCCTGAGGCAAAGCTTTGCAGGGCTGGCCAGCCCCTTGCCATCCTTTTCGCCCTTGACTGCCCAGGTCCTCATGCCTCTCCCATTCTCTACTTGCTCACATTTGACACTCCACTCCCTCTTTCCTCATACTGCCTCCCTGTTGTCCCTGTCTCTTCCCCCAACCATGGTCTACCTCCCCTAGCCTCTGTGGTATTCCCTGCAGGCTCTTTGAGGAGGGACCCTGAGCCAGGGGCCCTCCATGACAGCTGCTGCGTAACAGTGACTCTGTTGCCATTTCTGGCCCTCACTGCCATGCAAAGCAGCTGTAACCCAAGGAGCCTCATCCATAATTCAGACTGCACTCTCACTGGAGGCAAGGAGGAGGGGAAGGTGGGGGGGGCTCAGGCTTCTCTGCTCCCAGGCTGGGCGGGTGGGCAGAGGCGAGGTGGGGGCTGGGAGGCCTTTCTGTCCTACCCAGCCCTCTATCCTGCCTCCTGTGGTGTGTGTGTCCTTTTTCTTTCCCCATGTCCCCTTCCCACCCACTGCTTCTCACACCTCTTCCAGGCCACTCCTTCCCTCCAGGACATACCTCCTCCTCTCTCCCTGAGGACCACAGCTCCAATCCTGGTCCTAGCTCTGTGAATTCCTGGCAGAGACTGGGGCAAGCTGCATAAAGCATCAGAACTGGAATGGGAGATACCTCCACAGACATCTACAGGAAACCCCTCATTTCACAGGTAACAAGATTGAGGGTTGGGGAGCAAAAGGGTAAGTTTCTGAGTGACCACGTGCCTTTCTCAGAAGTGTTCATTTCTTCCCTCATTGCTTTCCAGGCAGAGGAAAGGGGAAAGCCCTTTCTGACACCCTCCCTTACCGTCTGCCCACTACTTCCCTCCCAACTCAGCAGGTGAGCCCAGAGTTGCAAAGCAGTGTGGAGCAGGGAAGGGAGGAAACTAACTGATAGTAAGCACCTACTGTGTGCCAGGCACTGTACTTGTACACACTAACTTCTTTAACTATAGAATACAACATATCACATATCACAACATATCAGATCAGTAGCACAATGATCTCACAAGGAAGGAAGGAGGCTAGAGTCATGCTGAGTTGCCTCAGGTCATGTAGCTAGTTACAATGTGGGACCCAGATCAGAAGGCACAGGTGCCAAGTTCATGTCAGAAGAGAATCTGACCTTTCTCACAACATCCACAGAAAACACCCTGGACATGAGAGATGCTACCCTAGAGGTAAAGGGAGGATGGACATTGCATCCAGGTGCCCAGGCCTAGGCCAATCACAGTGCTGGCTATTTGGCTGGTCAGAGTGGAGGTTAAGTAAGGGACCCAGGCTTTTGGGCTGCAGGCTGTGGTTGCTCTAGGAGACCACACATGTGGGAATCAAGAAGAGATATGGCCAGAACTGGCCAGTGGAGAGAGGCCAGAACAGGGTATTGATCCTGGAAGGCTGAAGTGCCCACAGCCAAAAAGTATTCATTCATGGAGGGACTGGGCTATCAGAGTAGCAGGGCTCTGAGACAAAGTTCTCAGTCTGTGACACCCATTAGACCAGAGGCCTCAGGGGAAGAACATGAGCAGAAGGAGGTGGAGCAGCTGGTGGGCAGGAGCCAGGCTGCCCATGCATGTGTAGAGTAGCAGGTGTACAGCGACCCTAGGAAAGATGACAGACCTCAGCTCTGGAAGGAGAGTCCCAGAGAGAAGCAACATCTTCACACCTCATAGGCGGCTTCAGAGAGGAGCAAGGGCTTGTCAGGCAGATGCGAAGGGGGCAAAGGCTGAGGAGATGGGTGCTGGGGAGCAGGATGGAGGTGGTGGAGATGCCATTGACGCAGGGGACTGGGGAGGCACTGACGCCCAGTGACTGAAGGTTTAAAGCTGCTGCAAACAGCTTCTCACTCTGCCAGAATGTAACACCCCAAAATAAGCAGCCACTGTGGGGCGGAAGGATCCGACGACGGAGCTTTGGGATATAAATGGCAGCACCGAGCCAACTAGGGTGCCCACCCTAGGAGGCTACCACCCTGCTGGAACGTCCTCACCCTCCTTTCTTCACAGTTGCCCTAAAGCCTTGAACTAAGTCCTGGGGCTGGCCCAACCAGCCACTCCCTGAGAGAGAAGGGATGTGACAGGCATGCTCTTTGGAATGGAGGACTTCCCACGTGGAAGTGGTTACCAGAAGCCTCTTTGTCTCATCCTGGGCAGCCCCCACCCCTCTCATCCCTCTCCCTTCTCTCTTTTCCTCCTCTCCAGCCTCTGTTAACATCCGGATCCATCCCTAGTTCTCCCATCTGTGGTTTCCTGTCCCTAATCCTGACTCTCACCCTTGACCATCTTACCCTGTTTCTGACACCCCATCACTATCCATATCTCCAAGCTTTCTCTGGTTTCTGGTCTCCCCATTCCATTCTGGTCTCCAGGGCCCCTGCCTTCACTCTTTCCCGTTATCTCTGTACTCCCATTCTAGGTGCCTGTCCCTAGTCCTCTATGCACCCCTTCCCTGATCTGATCTCTGATCTGATCTCCCCTCTCCTTTCCCTTCCTGGGTCTTCCTCTGGATGCCATTTTCCTCAAAGCTTTTCCATCTAACCTTTATTCCTTCTGCCCTTCCCCCATCCCTCCCCTCACCCCCACCCCCAATCACTTCCCTAGACACTTTCTCTTTCTTTGAGTTTCCTTCCCTATTCTCCTCCTTCGGACCCCTGCCCACCCTTCCCCCAGTCTTTGGCCCACACCCTTGTCTGTTACTCAATCCTTGGAAGGACCCTCTTTCTAGCCCCTCCATCTGTCCTACCGGGGAGGGCCATTTGGATTTCCCTCGGTGCTCTCTACCTTCCCAGACAGCCCCCTACCCATATCGCTCGTCCTCCCAGGTGACTGGAAAGTGCTGAGACACCGGCCACGAGGAGTTGCTGAGTCGGCGCTTCCCCAGCCGGCCCGAGTCCTCAGCGTCCCCCAGAGCAGGTGGAGCCGGGACAGCGGAACCTGAGCCTCCTACCCCACTCTGGCCCGATCCGCCTGCCCCCCGCGTCCCCCCTCGTCACGAGCTCCTGGCACACTCCAGGAGGGCTCAAGTCGGGTGCCCTCCTCCAGCGAGCAGCCCTGGGGGCGGAGGCGCGGCCCCTGCTCTCTTTTCTTCTCTCCAGGCCGCCCCACCCCCTCAGCTGCCCCACCCTCACGCCCAGGGAAAGGGGCGCCGGGTTCCCCTCTCCAGGATGCCCTCTCCCGCTTTTCCGCGGACTGGGGTCCCTACCTTGCAGCAGGCGCCGGAGCCCGGGCAGCATCTTGTCTCGACGCTCGGGGGAGGGGGCGGCGGGGGGGAGAGCGCTCCCAACCGCTCCTTTAGCCCGCCGAACGGACGGCGGGGACTCCGCGGGGCTCCGGGAGGGCCCGGGAGTCCCCGGGCTGAGTGACCTGGCCGCGGCGCTCTACCCTGCGCCCCCCGGGCTGCGGGCCTCGGGAGGAGCCATCGGCCCCGACGGGACGGGGCGGGGCGCGACTGGATGGGGAGGGCTGGGGCTGGCCTTGGACGCCGGGTATCCGCACCCCCTCCGCAGCGCGGCCCGCAGGGAGCGGTCAGTCAGTCCGTGCGTCCCAGCGGCTCGCCGAGGGAGAGTGGGGACAGCGAGGAAGCGCTACCCGCCCCCTCCTTCCCGCACTCGCTGGCTCCTCCCTCGCTTGCTAGCTTGCCGGCTTAACCCTTTGCTGGCTACTAGGAGGCGGGAGAGGTTCTTTAGCCCACTCCATTCCGGTCCCCTACCAACCCTGGTGGATCCTAAGGGCTGTGCTACATTGCTTTTGCGGCACCATGCTACTAGAGAAAACCTTTCTTGAGGCGGTGCGTAAGTGTTACGGAACCTCATGGACTTCTGCGGTTTTACCCACCCAACTTTCCAGGAGGAGATGGGTTCCTGGGTCATTTCCCGTCGCCCCACCCCCCACCTTTGTGAAGTTCCTCTCCGTTGTCCCTCTCCCCTGGGAAAGCTCCAAGATTCCTCCTTCCTTTCGGTCCCCAGACCTCGAACCCAGAGCGTACGACTATAAGAATAGTATATACAAGAGTTTGTGTGAGCAAGATCAAGAGCACAAGAGCGTGCACGTGCACTTGTGCAGGTGTGACTCCTAAGTGATGGCACGAAAGCTTTTATACTGGCCCAGAAAAGCGAGGGGAGGAGGGGCACGTGAGTGTGTGCGCTGGTGAGCCGCCGAGTGTCCGCCAGCGTGCGTGTCTAGGAAACGCTGTGCGAAAGAAATTGTGCGCGCGCGAGCTTGGGATGGGCGGCAAGGGTATACGCGCCCCAGTATGTGCGTGCCTCTTAAAGCATTTGCAAACAGGTTAAGTTTGGGCACGCGTGCAAATTTGTGTGTGTTTATGTGATGTGTCCAAGAGGGGATGTCTCATTTCACGCGAAAGTCAAGAGAGGACCCAAAGATGGAAAGGAGGCTGTTAGCTTCTCGCGAACTTCTACCTCTTTTAGAGGGGTGGATTTTGGTTTCACAGGGGCCCCTCGCGCCCCTAGCGGCCTCTTTCTGGGCGATGTCAGCCAATCCGTGACCTAAGCGCCTCCTTACAGAGGCTCGTTGCCATTTGTGTTAGTCTTGACCCAGCCCAAGGTGCTTAGCGTTCGGCCCTTGAGAGCCATTCCGGCGGACGATAAGCGTGGGACCCTCGAGAGGGTCGCTTGGGAGACCGTCGCCAAGCGGCGCCGGCAGGGCTGGGTCTGCTGGTGCGGCGGATGCCAGGGCCATCTGCCCGCAGTGGGACCCGGCCCGCCGCAGCACGCGAGCCTTGAGCGGCCACTCCCACGAGCGAAGCAGAGGGTCCCTCGCCCCACGGCCTCATTCCCTGGCTCCTTTCTTATCTGTGCCAGGGGTCCAATGCAGGGCATGGCATACAGTTGGCGCTTTGTAAATGCTGGTCTCATTCTTCCCATTCATTCTCTGCTCCTACCATAATCTCTCATTCTTCCCTTGTAGTCATTCGATTTCTCTCATTTTCTTTCCCCTCCCGTTATTCATATTTTATGATCTCTGGCTCTATTCCCTCCCTCCCTTCCTTACTCTCTCCCAGTTCTTTCCTTCCTCTGTGCACCTGCCTCTTTCTGTCACTGCCTTCTTGTCTCTCTTGCGGTCCCTCCATGTCTCTGCCTCTTCCTTGCCTCTCTGTCTCCCCATCTTTGCGTGTGTCTTGATGTCTCTCTTTTTCTTTGTTTCTTCCTCCCTTCCCCCTTTTCATCTTGTTTCATTTGCAATCTCACAGCCCTCTTGCACCTCACGCTCGAGTGCCCCCTGGTGGTTCCATCCTCTTTCCTTGCCCAGCTCCCAGCCTCTCAACCCTTTATTTCCTCTCCGGTCCCTTCCGTTTTCGGGTCTGATAGAAATAGGGACAAGTCTGGGTCTCCCTTCCATCTCCAAAAGCCAGGAATAGGGCCATGCATTTCTTTGGAACCCACCCTGCCGAGGGCCCGCGCCTGGTGGTGGTGGTAATGGTGGGAAGGTGGAGGGTGGAGGGGGCGGCGGGGAGTGTTGGGGATAGCAGGGTGGGATTTGGCGTCCTTCCCCGGAATGAGCCGCGGCACAATCTGTCGCTGGGTTTGTTTGCCGAGCTGCCTCCGGAGCGCAGTGGGGCTGGCTCTCGGGGAGCGAAATATCACAAGATGCGGAGACAGACGCTGAGGGGCGGGTGGGCGGCGGGCTGACTCAGGTGTGCTGTCATCGCCTCCCCGGGCCCGCGCGCTTCTGAGAGGGGTGGGAGGGGACCCCCGGCCCCCAACACAGGCGGACACCCGAAGCTTGGAGGGGAGCCCCTGTCCAGGGATGAGGTGCGGGGAAGAGGGGGTGCAACTTCCCGTAATCCTTGGCTCCCGGCCTCTCCTTCAGTCCAACTTGGGTATTCCCTAGACAGCGGCCCCTCTGAGGTACCCCATTATGCTGGTGTCCCGGTTTCCTATAACTGTCTGCTGACTTACCACTTTCTCCTCAATAGAGTGCCAGCTTTTTGAGGGCAGGAAACTCTTCTCATCCATTGTGTGTCCTAACAGGTGCTTAGTGAAGTGTTGGATGGCTTCCTACTGGGTAGGTGGATAGCTAGTCTCAGTTTACAGGAACCACCTCAATGCTTTTGGTCTTCCCCTTCCTCTTTCCCCTACCCACATTTTCAGTCCTCACACCTTCCACCTTCCCTTGAGTCTGATACCAGCGTTCTCTAGAAGGCCCTAAACAGTTTTATCTCCTTCCTTATGCCTCAATTTCCTCAATTGTACAGGGGCACTACACGTCCAAGTCACAGGGCTGCATTTAATCTCCAGCTACTCAAAGTAGCAGTTGTCGTGACTGTTTCTGGGGTCATTCTTTGATAGTGAGGGCTAGCCCAGGAAATTCAGACCCCATGTTGGAATGAGTGGGGCTTCTGCAGTTAAATGTTTGGAGACTTCAGGAAGTAAGTTTATGGCGGAGTGTAATCCAGGACTGTGCCTTCGGGCATGTAGGCCCAACTCTGGATATTCAGACCTTTGGCCTTGGCCGCAGAGCTGGTATGCCCTCTGGTGGCTGTAGGTGGATCTGCAGCCCCACCGAGAGCCAAAGATCGCTAGAAATGGGCTGATAAATGGGACAATTGTTTGGAGAACAGTGGGCTTCCGAAAGGAGGTCGTGTAGAAGAGGTAGAATATTGGTGCAAATTACATGAGTCCTTATATCGTCTTTGGGTCTTTATATCGTGATTAACAGCATCACTCTTCTCAGTGTGCCACGGGCTCCTTCTCCCTCTGGGGGCCCCATCTAGTGAGTCCACAGAAACTCCCTGGTTCTTCCTCCACCTGTTTGGCACCTTCTCCGTATAGAACTCTTGGCAGCTAGTGTAGGAGGTGGGTGGCTCAGCGACCAGGTTCATGCTCTGCAGCTCACTAGCTAGCCAGATGACCTTGGGCAAGCTGCTTAACTTTTCCTAGCCCTCAGTTTTCTTATCTAGAAAATAGGAGAGGGCAATCCTAGTTCCCAGATCATAGGGTTGCTTGAGGATTAAATGAGATAAAGTATGCCAGAACCTGACCCTGTGCTCAGTAAATGCTAATAATGTCGTTTATATCTGTTTTTAGCTTAACAATGACCTGGAGAATAGATATTGCAGTCTAGTGGCAAAAAGCAAAGTTATGATCTGCGATCATAAACAGTGAGTACCAGCACTGGGTATGGGAGTCAGTTCTTAGTTATGACACCCTCCTCATGGGACTGACCTTGACATTGACACCCACTTCCAGCACATGCCAGGGCTGCCCAGTGTGATGACAGGAATCCCAACCTGAATTAGAAGGTCTAGCCTGGGCTCTGTCTCTGAATGACTGTGAAACCTGGGGCAGCCTTTCTGGGCTGCAGACTGCCTGTCATCTTGGATTCAGTGTTCTTGAAAATCCTACAAAGTAGGACTGTAATCCTAGCTACTCAGATAGCAGTGATCAGGGGGATCGAGGTTTGAACCCAGCTGGGGCAAATAGTTTGTGAGACCCTAGCTTGAAAATACGCAAAACAAAAAAGGTCTGGCAGAGTGGCTCAAGTGGTAGAGAACCTGCCTAGCAAGTGTGAGGTCCTGAGTTCAAACACCAGTATTGCCAAAAAAAAAAAAGAAAGCCCTACGAAGCTAAGGCTTTGTGACATCTTTATTTCTTTGTGGCTTCTGGGCCAGACTCTACTGAAAATGGAGATTGCCAGTTAGATTCTGTGCTCCTCTCACTTTCCTAGCTCTAGGGACCCCTGACTCCACTCTGGCCTTCTTAATACTCCCTGAGCTGGTTAGTGACAACACACACTGCATACCCTGGATGGCGCAGGTACAGGTCCAGCCCCTCCTTTCCTGAGGTCCTTGCCCTGTTCTGCTCAGCCCTATGGGACAGGACTGCTTTCCATTCCAGATCCTTTCTAAAATAAGGGAAAACCTAAACCAGATTACTTTAAAAGGCAAGGTTGTCAGAACAGGTTTTCCTCCTCCCTTGCTTAGATTCTAGAGCCTTTGTGAATTCATATTATCTATAACTCACTCCAGGTCATGAACTTATGAGTATTGACTGATTTAGAGTAACTTTATGAGGGAGGCTTATTTATTTATTTGATGTCCTTTTTACCTCTTTCTTTTTTGCTAATTGTACAACAATGGTTTCATTATGACATTTTCATACTTGCATACTATGTACTTTGGACATATTCAACTCCTTTAAAATCTGTGAGAGAAAATGTGTGATATGGCTTATTCCACTTAACATGATGATCTCCAGTTCCATCCATTTTCTTGAAAATGATGTAATTTCATTCTTTATGGATGAATAATACTCGTGTGTGTGTGTGTGTGTGTGTGTGTGTGTAACATTTTCTTAATTCATTCATCTGCTTGTGTGTACCTAGGCTGAGTCCATGATCTGGCTACTGGCTATTGTGAATAGTGCCTCAGTAAACATGGGTGTGCTTGTATCTCTAATTGTATGCTGACCTTGAGTCTTTGAGTATATGGCTAGGAGTGGGATAGCAAGATCATATGTTAGCTATAATTTTAATTTTTGAGGAATCTCCATACTGATTTCCACAATGGCTGGACTAATTTATGTCCCCACCAACAATG